TAAGGTCTCTAAGTATGTTGCTTTTGTTCAGTGATTTAGATTTGTTGTCTCATGGCGCCTGTTAAATTGGATCCAGCTATTAGCAAAATGTACTCATTTTCCCTGAAGCCAGTCTCCTATTTGCAGACCAAAAGGCTTAGTAAAGTCTAGCTTCCTTTCTCCTCTTAACAAAGGCATGGTTTAAATTACTTGTTTTCTAAATCTTACTGGTAGACCTCAGAAGTAAAATATTTATTTTTTGTTTTATGATTGAGAACACAAGCAAGCCTGATCATTGCAATGTAACATGTGAAGCTTTCTTTGAGGATGTTTTCTAGGCTTGTCTGATTGTCAAGGGGGGGATTCTGCCTCTCTGCCCCCTCAGGTGAGACCCCCCCTGCAGAGCTGCTCCAACCCTGGGGAACAGTACAGGGAGGACATGGAGCTGCTGGAGAGAGTCCAGAGGAGGGTCAGCAAGGTGATCAGAGGGATGGAGCAGCTCTCCTATGAGGAAAGGCTGAGAGAACTGGGATTGTTCAGTCTGGAAAAGAGAAGGCTTTAAAGTGACCCAGTTACAGCCTTTCAGTACCTGAAGGGAGCCTACAGGAAATATGGAGAGAGACTTTTCACAGGGGCCTGGAGGGAGTGGACAAGAGGGAATGGCTTCAAACTCAGAGAGAGCAGGTTTAGTTTAGATGTTTTAGATTAGATGTTTTTGGAAAAAAATTCTTTAATGTGATGGTGGTGAGGCAGTACAACAGGTTGGCCAGAGAAATTATGGGTGCCCCATCCCTGAAAATGTCCAAGACCAGGTTGGATGGGGCTTGGAGCAACCTGGTCTAGTGAAGGTGTCCCTGCCCATGGCAGGGAATGGGACTGGATGATCTTTAAGATCCCTTTCAACACAAGCCATTCTATGACTGTGTGGCACAGGGGAGAATAATATGGATTAGATAAAGGAATTTATCACCTGGCTCAGAAAAAATTAGTATCTCTTTCATTTAAGATGTGTTGAAAATAGCTCAAAAATGTTGTTTCCCTGGTATGTATGTCACTGGGAGCTTTTCTTTCGAAAGTCAAGCCATCCATGTGATGCCTTAGATGGGTTTAGTCCATCAGCTTCAAGCACCATTTCCCAAAGGTCTTGGCCCAGGTTGCTGAAACAAGAGGACTGTCCTTAGAGATGGATTATTAGTATATTTTATGTAAGTATTTATTTCCCTTAACTAATCTCATGCAGCAGCTTGTATTGTCTGAAAACAGACTAAGCATAATTTTGGTTTCCTGTTATCTTCCATAGCACTGTAACTCAAACAGGTAATGTTTGAGTTACAAATAATATTTATATTAAAATGAAATTAAAAGATACTGTGAGGCCCCTGGAGTTATTTGTATAAGATGCTGCTCCTAAATTTAGAGCTCTGCTGTCTGGCAGCATCCTTTCCAAGATGTTCTATTGAGGTGCTAGCCAATATTTACATCTCAGTGTGGTTGATGTTTATGAAAATCAAATGTTGTACTTGAGACAGTCACTGTCTCAGTATCTTCCCGCCACTGGACTGTGCCTCAGAAATGCACTACTAATAGGAGTAGAGTCTTGCAGAAATCACAGTAACAAACTTTATTTAGCTTACAAAGCTGGCAGTGGCAATGTCTGCACCACCTCCAAAAGCAGGGCAGGAGGAAAAAAACTATTTCCAAGCCATGAGGATCCATGCAGGAGGAACCTGAGGTGTCAGCAGGCCCCCATCACCCCTGTGCCCACTGCTCCCCATCCTGGGGAGGGTCAGGCATGGGCTTGGAAGGACAGCTCCTGCAGGCCAAGGGAAGAAATTGTGTTTCCAACTTTGGCATGTGGGTCCTTGCAGCTGCCAGACCAGTAACAGTGTGTGTGGGTGGTTGGACAGTTGAAGGTGTTGCTTCAGATCCAGAAAAGTCCTGTGTGCTTTCTGCCAGCAATAACAGGATGGATTGCTGTAAATTACTTTTCAGGTTTGGTTTGTTGTTCATGGTGTAAGCAGCCAAAGTGACATATGTTGTGCATCTCTGAACTGTGCAGAACAGCTCAGAGAAACGTGCAGGGAGAAAACTGGGAGAGGACTAATGCATTCTTATTTTTGCCACTGAGTATTTGCTCCTGGGAGGAAAAGAAAAGCCAAGAAGAGTACACACAGGATGCAGTATGGTTAGCTCAGTCCTACCACAAGCTCCTCAGTTTTCAAAATTTCCTTTTGAGTCTGTTTTGTCAACAGTGCCTGCTCACATGACTCATTCACGGGGCTGGGAGGATGTGGGGCCTGGTTCACTTTTCCCACTCTATGCATTGGACGAGACTCTGGGAATTGAATTTTTTCCACACTACTGTTATGTGACTAAAAGTCTTATGTTCATGGAATCAGCCTAGGGCACGGAGTATCCCAGAAAAATTGCTTCTTTATAGTGCACTGGAGTATCTGGGGAATTAGTGCCTTTGCTGTAGCTGAGGTCTGGGAACCGTGGCTGTTGTGGGCAGGGGCAGGAGAGAACCAAGGTGTGAGTGCAGCCCACGTTATTCAGGGTACCCCCTGCCCCTCCTGGGCTCCAGCCAGCCCTGATGCCTGTGCTCCCCTCCCTGAGGTCCCACACAAGCCACGGGGGAGCCCCCCGGCTGACTGAGCCCCCGGTTCCACGGTTTGATTCTCCCCAGTTTGCTCTGCCACGGGAGCATCTGGGGCTTGGGGAGACAGGAGACAAACGTGTAATCTGAGGATAACAGACATGCTGCTTCTGGCCCAGCTGGCAGAGTGCCAGCGTTTCGGATCTGGGAACATGCTGGGATTTGTGCTAACCCTGGGAAAGAAAGGAAGAAAGGCAAAGGAGAGAAAGGAAAGTGTGTTCTGTCACAGACCTCACTCAGCAAATAAATAGTTTTTAACTGTTTGAAAGGAGGTTGGTTGCCAAAGACAGAACAGTTAAGGGAGTAGGCACAGCTTAATTCCATGTTTTCCAAAGTCCTTGGGATTCTGATGATCAGGCCACGGTGCAAATGTCAGTCAGTCCCACATGACATTGGTATGTGAAGTAAGACCATGTGAATGGCTTCACAGAGAGAACTTCTGTTCTGCTGTCCATGCAGCTACAAGGGTTGCACCACAAAATATGTTTTGGGGGCAAACTGGCTTGTGAGCCAGGTCCCTACTTCTTATCGAGAGTACTCAGAAATACAGGCTCTAAAGTCTTGTGACTCCTCCTTTAGGAGCAATAGATGTTTTAATAACTTCAGGGGAAAAAACAGCTCCACCAGGAGGCATGAAGAGAGCCCCATCCCAGAATACATTATAATCTGCTGTTGAAATATCCCCACTGAAGGCACAGTTTGAGATCTTGAGCAGCTACAAAAGCTGGACTTGATTGCTCACCTCCTGGGTAAGTGCTGTAACTGCTGGACCATGAGAAGTAGAAGAGCAGTGATCACAGGAGGGGACCACAGTCCCTTTCTCCTCCCTACAGTTCTCCACATCACTTTGAGAATACATAAGGAATCCTGTTTGGGTTTTTTTTGTTTGGTTGGGGTTTTTTAATATATGGCAAAATGTGCAAAATGAAATATATCTGCAGTCTTTTAAATGTGTTTATATTCTGTTTGGTTAACTCACTCTACAGATGGGAGAGGAGTATGTTAAGTTTTGAGCCTGGATAGTTTTGTCCAGGCATGGAGCTACTTGGTGCTGTGAGAAACACCCTGTGACAAAGCTGGATTGCCTGGGAAGAGTTTTACTGCTGAAACATTTAGTGTCTCCAGGGAGAAGCAGCAGCTGGGTAGGGCTTTGAAAGTCTACATTATGAATATGGGCATCTACTGCAAAGTGAGCTGAACCTTGGAAAGCTATTTCTTTTGTAAATTGAGCTTTGGTTCCACTGGCAGGAATCTTAACAGCTGTTATTTTGTCAGCAAAAAGCTTTAAGAGACAGCAATTATTCCTTACCATGCACTGCACTGTAACTATTTGGGATCTTACATGCAGTGAGCGCAAAATCCACTCGGCCCCAAAACCCTGCAGCTTTTTATTTCATTCGTGAGTGAATTTTTTTCATTCAAACTATTGTGTGTAAGGGGTTGATGGAAAGGCATATCAAGTACACAAAAAGGACTCTTCCACAACCTGTGAGCGTTTATAATTTATTAATTATGCTACTAGAATTAACATCTAATTACATAAATCTGTGAAATTTTTTCCTGAGATGTAAAGTTGCTAAGAACTAGGATGAAAAGGAAATTATTTTCAAATACCTTATTTCCAAAAGCACAAGAATACTCTAATGTGCCTTTTCCCCCCTCCCTTTCTGGCTCCCATTCTCAATGTTATCAGTAAATCTGTCATTCAGAAAAAGGTTCATGCTTAGTTACTTGATATAAGCACAATTTGGACTCAGTTTTGAAAAAATATTAGAACTGCTAATGTTTTATTCTTATCATGAAAGGTGATTGTTCTTAGGTGCCCTGACTTTTGAAAGATTGTAAGAGCAAAGGCTATAACAGAAGGATTGGGAGTTATTCCACCTGCCTGTTTTCCTTTTGTGTCAGTGCTGAACCACTAATGGAATATCAAATGTTATCTGGTCACTGCCCACAACTGGGCAAGCCTTGCTGGAGAGTCAGATGACACTACAAGAGTAGCTAAGAGCAAAGTCAGAAATGTAAAGGCAACAACATAAAGCCACATATGGAATTCATGTTCATACTACTTAAATAAAAACATTTTTTCAGTTGTGATTTACCTGAAAATTTAATTTCAGAATGTCAGTGACTGTTTTTGTCAATGTGTATGTCCATGGTGGAAGAGCACAATGGCTTCTCAAATACAGAGGGATATTACATGCTTTACAAGGTGCTTAAAACCTGTTACTAGCAAAGATATGGTGGCAAAACTGTTTAGTTTAACTGAAAGCTCCCTGTTTCATGGGTTTATATCTAACTCTTACCCCTTTGGCATGGGTGAAATATTAGTACAGAATTATATTTATCACTTGTGTTCCCACAGGTTCGCCATCGGTGGTGTGAGCTTGTCATTAAACACAAGTATATGCCTGGGTATGGAGATGTGGAGACATTTCTCAGAGAAGATCAGGTAAGTTACATTTAAATTAGCATTTTGAAAACAATCAATTTTTTGACACCCTTAATCTGAAACAAAAAAAATAATTTTAATATATTTTCTTGCTGCAGTTTGTCAAAAACTTGTCTGTGTATTCAGTTTTTGCCTCTTCTGCCAGTTAAATGTTGTAGTTTAAGGAAGCCACCCAGGGTAGGTGTCTGCAACCCCCCTGAGCATCCTAATCTTCTGTCCAGTGGTAAAATAGGATATAATCCATCCTCTTCTTCCCTTTTATGCAACCTAGAGGTAGCAATGATACTGGGAAGACATTTCCCAGCACTGGTTCCTTTTGCAGGGTGGTGAAGGCAGGTCTGACTGGGAATGCTGCCAGAAGATTCTGAAGGCCTTAAAAGGCTGTCCTTACATGATGTCCTTACAATAACCTTTTATTTAGGCCATTGTGAACTTAAAATTCTAATTGTACCCCTGCCTTGTTCTTTCTATTTCAATTTTATTTATTTTTATTCACTGTGAACTCTATAAAATTATACATTCTCTGCCTAGGATGACTGTTATTTATTTAAAATGTATGTAAAAAAATACAGAATGGTGCAAGATATGTCAAAGTCTAGGCAAGACATTAATGTCTTTACCTTTTATGCTGACAATGAACAAAGCCATTTGCAGCCAATGAGGATTTTGTGCTTTCAGGCAATGCAGCACAATTGAAATATTGCAGTCTGGCCTGCTCTTTCTTCTAGCTCTGAAGCATACCACCTATTTATATCTCAGCCAATAAAAGGCCCCAGAGTTCTTGGCAAGCTCTTTATTAATAGAAAAAAAAAAGACATAAAGAAACATTTTTTCACAAGGAGTTATAAATATTGTGCATATTTTTAATCTATGAAAGGATTGATAACCACCAGCAGAACCTAGAGGATGAGGGGCCAGGAAATCCTTGAGTTGATAAAACCTTACAGAATTGCATTATGTTTGAAATAGATATTTTGCCAAATAAAGACATTTTCTACAGTGTAGGGAAATAATTTTTGCAACTTTTTAAATGTAATCTTCATTTCATGTACTTCAGCAGTGCATAGAGTTTATGGCACAACCAGTTTCTAGAGCGATTACCACTCAGAGCAGTTGCAGGCCCTTACTGATCATGAAAGACAGCTTTTTGAAACGTCTGGGCAAAAATGCAGATGTGACTATTTAAAGCCTTTTCAGGTCTACAAAACACCAGTTTCTTTACAGCATGTTAATATTTAGGCCTGGGGGGAAAATTATTAGCACTAGGTAGAGAAGGTGATTCCTATTTGGAAGGAAGTTCCAGCATTTTTAAACCCTCAGTGGAAGCGATTGGAGCCTCTGCAAGGCCTGGGCTGTGTCTGCCAGACCTGGTGCAACTGCAGACCTTGGAAATGTGAGTCCTTGGTTCTCTGCTGTCAGAGACCTCAGGGGATTGCCAAGGAGTCTGGCAGCTTTCTGCCACTCTGAGACTTTTTCCTTTAATTTCAGTCTTTGTTAAGCTTTAAATTTCCCTTCTTGTTGAAGCTGTTTTTTTAAGGCTTAGCAGCCAATGCTAGAAATTGTGTTAAATTACGTTAAAAACTGTTTTCTCCATGCTATCAAAATTTTTCCTATCCTGCAAGTCCAAACAATAACTGTAAAAGTCAGCATGCTAAGATGCTAATATTTTGTTGCATGTGTAATCCTGTTTTGGTAAGTGCAGCTTAAGACTCGCTGAATTCCTGTAATTAGCTGAAAAAAATTGTGTCATCAGAAAAAAAAGGCAATCCCCAGTATGTTTCCTGTTAAGTAGCCAGTGCTTTCCTGGCAGTGTCAAAGGGGCCCAGATCTCATGCTCAGGTGCCCCATTACAATTTTTATAGCTGCTGTGTCCAGAATAAGTAGTTAGAGAGACCCTTCTTACCAACCCAGGATTTGTGCATGTTCAGTTGGATCTCAGGTGTAAAGGGGAGTGTGAAACACAGACCTGACCATATTCAGTTGATGTCCAGTTACCAAACTGCCAAATGGACATTTCAGAGTAGACTGCCTCAGTCTCTGTTCATGGATGACTGTCTAAACATCCCAATTGGAAAGAAAATGTGTATCCTGTTGAAGGAAAGACAAGCTGTTTTCTTAAGGGACATTTGGAAACAAATCAGGTTGTGGATAAAAGAAAAGATTATTCAACTTGAAGAGTGGCAAGGAAAGTGGAGTAAGAGTTGTTTTTTTTTTAAGTAACGTAGACCTTTTATATTAATAATCTGTTTTTACACACTTAACACAGCATATAGACAACAATGCTTAGGCTAAAAAGATCCAGGGAAAACTACTTCTTTTTGTGGGGAAGGTGGGTGTAATAGAGTATGTGGTATTTTCTGTGTTTTGGATTGTTTGTTTTGTTTCATTTTCAGTTTAAATGAATACTGGGAGGTCAATGGAATGACTAACTAGTTGTTACTGGTAGTAGGATGCCTGTATGTTATGTTCCTCTTTCAGGCTATGGGGGTGTATCTCTATGGTGAATTAATGGTGAATGAAGATACAAAACAACAAGAACTTGCACGTAAATGCTTTGCCTCAGCACAGGAACATATGGATGTGTCCTCAGCCAAAGTGGTGGCAGAGATGTTGTTCTGAAGAGGTGATTTTTCATTTTAATCTAAACACCCTGATTTTGCTTCATAAAGAAAGAACATGCAGAGCTCACTAAACGTGGTAAACTTTGGCATACTGTGCTGCCTGGGGCTGCTCAGGTCGAGAAGTAACTCTTGTTAAATATCTTGTTGGTTTTTTTTCTTTTTTTTTTTAAGCCCAACTGCAGGAGCAGTGAGTGACACACATGTAGGCACTAGCTGGAGAACAGGCCTTGTTGTAAATGTTGTAATGGTCTATACAAGAGGCAACTGTAAGTCCAAAGGGCCAAGGAAGGCCAGGCTCTGCCTGCAGTTGTTTCCCATTCTGTGCTTACAGACATAGCAGTTGTGCAAGGAGCATTTATGTTTAATGGAGCTGCCTGTTTACTTGGTAGGCAGCATAGTCTTTGAAAAGAGTCTTATCCCACAGTGGAAATATGAAGCTTTGGACTTGAAAGCAAATCTGAATTATTTTGAAGCAAGCTGATAATTCAAATGTTTTTGTGTTAAGGGTAGTGAGGCTTTTGAAGATTGCTTATGAGGTAAGAAGAGTAGCCTTAACATGAAGAAGCTGGCTTGTTTACCAAATTGGTGGGGAGAAATCACCAGAGAAGAAGCAGAATTGCAAAAAGTATTCATGGAATAATTGCTGTAGACTATAAACTGGTAATTTGCAAAGGTGCTTCCCACTTCTTAGTCTGTTTGAGGAGTCAGAGGCAACCTTACAGTGTCCCACGTGCACGTTCAACATACAAGCAATTAATTAAGAGTGGTGTGAAGGTTTCTTACAGCACAGCACACCTCAGATCTTTGATACAACTCACTCACCCAACAGACTGATTGCCTTGGTTGTTCATGTAACTTTATGGTTAATTTGTGGTATCAAAATTCAGGCATCTAATTTAGCAAAATCATCATCATCTAATTGGTACCAAGCAGAAATCTCAGTTTTCTCCTGTTCAAGCAGTATTTGACAGTGATTTCCACTTGATTTCTTGGGGTTTACTACATTTATATGAAATACAGCAAATGACAGGTTCTATGAAAGCAAGTGCAAGTTTGTTTATGAAAAGCCATGTTATTCTTCTGTGTAGACAGGAACTGTGCCTGCCAAGAAAAATTTTTGGGAAAGGTGGATCAGACTGTAGAGTGCCAGGATATCAGTTGTGGAGTAGGGGAGCCACCTTTTAAAACAGGTACAGCTCAGAGACTCTTGTGTAATCCCCGTTCCCAAGGACTCACAGGAATTTGAGTTACGTTCAACAATTCTTAATCTGTGAGATGTCTTCTAGTGAAGGCCACCTTCTGAAGGCCAGAAACATGGAGATGCAGTTTGTTCTGGTACTACTGTACTAGGAACTGACTTCTTATAGTTCCTTCAATAATAAAATCAAAATTTCTACAAGCTTCTGATGGTAAGTACCTAGCACAGGAAGATGACATGGTGTGTGTGTGCGAGCAATAGTCTAGAATCGCCCCTTGGACTTTCCAGACAGACTAGAAGTGTGTGATGAGCTGTGACATAAAGTCTAAAGATACTGAGTCCAATACTCTGTGTGACTGCTCCATTTCCTTTTAATGTTGTGGCTGTTTGGGTTCCTGGCATGATGATTTGTGATTTAAGATTAAAATCACATTGCCAGGGATTACCACAGAGCCATGACCGCAGCTGCTAGCATGAACCTCACCATAACTGTCTGAGCCGTGCACAGCGTGGAACCCTCTCCAGCCAGGAAACAAAACCAAACCAAAAAAAAAAAAAAAAAAAACAAACCAAAAAAGAGGAAAGCAGCAGAGCATCACAGAAGACCCTCCTCCGAAAATGATCTCTGCCGAGTCGGAGACCTCTCTGGTGAGGTGCAGAGCTTAGCTGATTGGTGAACAGTGATTGTTTCCCTCTTTGTTCACAGTGGCTAAGTTCTGCACCTGAGGAGAAAGGAGAGGAGACTCTGTGCAGGGCAGAGAGCGTTTGCTGGCTGAGATACCTTGCTGCTGGATGGGTAGATTTGGAGTGAATGCATGTGCGTGAGGTTCAGTATATGGAGGATAAGAAGCAGAGGTGGCTTAGGGAGGACCAAAGACTTTTAGCTGACAATAAACAGCACTCCTGAAGTTCTCAGTCTGACTGCAAGCATAAGGTGTTGCTTACAGTAATTTGGTTTCCATCTTCCCTAAAGGTCAGAGGAAATACTGTCTGTGACTTTAAGCTGAAATTGTCAATAAAGCTTTGTTTTATAGTCTTCTCTTTAATGGATGCTGTCCTGCTCTCTCTGCAGTTGTAGTTTAGTCTGTGTGTCATTTGCAGGAAACGGTGGCAGCTCCAGTCGGACACCACTGACGGTGCTGCTGTTGTTCCAGGCTGTGGATGGACCCGTCCTCCGGTGCCTACTGAGCTGATATCAGTTCTCATTTTACACACTGGCTCAGTTCAGCAGGAACAGGAGTCGAGCCCTAGAGCAAAAAAAGCTGTACCTTTTCTAGGAGCCGTTGAGAAATGTTGGTGCCGTTTTCTCTCAGAAAATGCCCCGGTGTACATTGTGATGTCCTGATGTTAAACACTGAATGGCCTGAGGTGGAAAAGCTGCCTCAGTACTGTTTAGAGAACTGTGTGTGGTTATGTAGCACAACACACATTATTGCTCTGGGAACTTGCCTCCAACATCATGTTCAGAGTAACCTGCTAATAAGCAAGAGAATATGCTTCCACCATGAACCCTCCCCATCCTCCCCAGCCCCTGTGGTAGCTCAAGGACACTGCAGAGAACAGCATTTCTTAACTCTGCAGCCACAGCCACACTCTGCTGGTAACCTGGAAAACAACTCCTTTTGGAAAGCTGGGGCAATCTAGAATGCACAGATATTCCTTCACCGTGGCAGAGTAATAACTTTAAATGCTGTTTCCGTTGCAGGAAAGATCACAGAGAAACCCTTTTAATAGATCTGCTTCTAAACCCCGATGGTACTGGGATTTGACTGACCTGGAACATCAAAGGAAGGATTTTGTGACTGCTAAAACAATCATTTGACAGAAATATTTACCTTTCTGTATTTCCAGAGGCTCACTGTAACTGAGACCACATGTACACAAAAACTACACACACATGTGTTACTCTGGCTTTAGGTGATCCTTTGATTCAAGATATTTGGGGTTTGTCCTTGGTCTTTGATAATACAGCCACTCCAGTTTGCAGATACCAAGGGCTCTTGATTTGAACAATTTATGCACTGCAGTAATTTGGAGATTCTGAAATTTGATTAAACTGTATTGTATACTTAAAATTTTGTTTGTAACTTCTTTGTCATATTAAAAAATGTCTCACATAAAATCAGCAGGAGCTGGGATGGGACTCGGGAGATTAATTAGAAGCATAAATAATCTGCGGAAAGTGACCTACCATCATCCTGGTGAAGGGATGGGACTGAAGGAAAAACAAAGATCAGCATTTTCTCTCTGTGATGTTTAGGTTAAATTTTACCAGAAATGTCAGCCCTGTTTTCTGAAAGTGTCTTTTATACCTGATCAGTGGAGCACTACACTTCTAGAAGACATTTTAATTGGTCCTTTCAGAGAGTAAGAATTTAAAACACAAAAATCTGTGAACATATTTCCTTTGTACTCTATTGTTTTACATAAAATGATCTTGTAAAAATAAATATTTTTTTTCAAGTATGTCTAGTTCTTTCCACTGCACAGTGGTTCAGCATTCACAAACTTGGGAAAAAGAATGACCCCATTTCTGGTTTTGCAGCAGGAGAAAAGCAGCTGAAAGATGTTAGTTAATGGATATTAACAAGAAAAATTAAATGTGGTAATTTCTTTTAAATTTTTGTTCTCAGCATCTAAAGTAAGAGCCTGCCTCAACAGTGACTTCAGCACAAAGGGTACAGTTCCTTTTCACCTCACCATGTTTTCTGACCTCTCCCTTTCCAGGCTTACAGTGTCAAAACCTGAGTGACGGGACACTCAGCGAGTTCTTTCAAGTGCAGCAAGAGTGAGGAAATTGTCCAAGAATGGCCCAGACACCACACTGACTTCTGTGGTCACACTCAGAGATGGAGCTCTGACAGGAGCCCATTCAGAAAAGAGTTCTGCTTCATTTCACAGGTTTTTCTGCAGAGGCCACCAGCTTGCTTTTTGCTTTTTCCATTGTGTTAGGGAAAAAACCCAGAGCTGGATAAGACTCTTGCATAAGACACACAGAAATTAAATACACTGCAAGCCTCTTCATAGCCACTCCTGTTAAAACTACTGGGCGAGTAAGGCACTCCTCACCTCTGTAAATATCATCACATTTGGTTTCTTTCAAAACAAGCTACTTGCATTTTTTGTTAATATTGAGCACAGCAGTAGTTTGTTCTGTTTGCTGCAGCTGTTTCAGCCTGTCTCAGCAGTATTAACTTGAATATTTCCCTCACCACAACTTTGTGATCCATCATTCATGGTAGCAACTGAGAAAATGAACAGAAACTAAAACACTAACACCAAACAACCTAAAAAATGGCAAAGAGGTGGCAATCCTGGCCCTTTATCAGGTTTTATAGGGCCTTTTGTTGCTAATCCAAGCACTGTGAAATACAGTAAGGCTTCAGATTAGGAAGAAAACTAAAGGCAGCATTGAATAGTTCTGTGACCACAACTCATCATGAGTAAGAGATAATAGGAGATTCATGTATGTATTATATAGTAGGGTCATTATCATGATATAAGCATTTCCTTAGTTTAAAATCCTTCTGAATCATGAAAAAAACCACTGGAAGTGAGCCACAGACTGTGGCAATTCTACCCTGAATAGCACTAGAAAGTCCAGTGCAGAAGGCTGGACTATCTCCCACATATCCCATCAGGCCACCATCTGGTTGGGATCGGGGTGATTCTTTTCTGGATGTAGCTTTTAACTGTAAAAATGAATCTCAGATGAAATTAAAACTGTATCCATACAGTTAGGCAAGGGTCACCATCTATTGTCCTGTGCCACTTACTGGGTCACTTCTTCAGAATAAAGGTAGAGCACAACAAGGGGTGACCTGGCAGTCCCTTGGCCCCGCACAGGACATGAATTCCTGGGCACACACGTTCTCTTCGAAGCCCAGAGTGACACAGACCACTCTGCTGACGGCTTATTTGCTCTGCAGCTTTGCTGGGAGGTGTTTGCAGCTGCTGCTGTCTCTATGCTTTCTCCTTTAGGAGGGAATTAGCTGTACCCTATTGTCCATTCCTCACACACAGTGGGGAAGGTCTGGAAGCAAATCTAACCAGAAATGCAAACTGAGCGAGTGGGCAGCTTGAGGAAACAAGAAGGCTTAAGAAGCCTAAAGAAAACCCTATTCCACAACACTGATTCTTAATATCTAAATGCAAATTAATATATCTCTTGGTCTTTATAATGAATCTTGTGGTCTTTTAAAGCTGTAAAATATCTAGAATTCATGAGTTATGTTTGATGTCTTCCATAACAGGAAAAGATTTTAACAGACACCTGAGTGCATTTCTGTTCTTGCCCCCAGTCTTCGATGCCTAGATTAGTAGTAAAATAAATAAATAAATAAATAAATAAATAATAAAAAAAAAAATAATAAATTGCAAGAAAGGACAATGAAGCAACTAAATAGAGGGGCCTGACTCATCTAGAATTTCACCACAAGTATACTGAGTTTAGGCACATATACAAAATACTTTAAGTTAACATAGACACTGACATGGATATGTTCCTTTGTTTCTGTGGGCACAATATGCTGGAAAAATTATTTTAAAACTTACCCTGCTGCCAGGCTGACATCACTGAAATATGCCAGTGTACAAAGAAATTGAGACATCTGTACACTGCTTGGGAGATTAACTTCATTTGTCTGCTTGCTGTGGCTTAAACTGAGTGCATATTATCTGCACAAAATTAAGGCCTGATTCCTGGTGCTTATAGCTGCCAGCACAGGAATTTGCTCTAACTATTACCTAAAAGCATGCAGAAATTGCAGTTGTGCAAAGATTTGCTTTTGCATGGTAATTTATACATAGGAAACAGAATTTAATTTTCAGCTGAGCATTGCAGTGTATTAGCAGAGTACCCCAACAGCACCACCATGCAAAAGCCTGGTTTGCTTTTTGCCCCACTGTGGCCATGCCAGCTCTGCTGGTTTTGGCACCCTCTGAGCAGCAGCTGAACATCACTGCACACTTTGTTTAATGTAGCTCACTTCAGTCATCTCTGAAAATTCCATGTCTGACTGCTCCAGGCTATTCCTCTGGGCCTGTTGGGACCTGTGTCTCTCCTGACACTCGCTCTGGGACATTCCATTCATGAGCCCGTGGCTGCTTTGCCACTGTCATCATCCCCAGCCCTCCTGACTCCCTCTGAACAGGCTGCTTTGAGAAGCTGGTGTTTGGCACCATAACATATTTCACTTCATCTTTAATCTTGAAAGGACAGTGGTCATCATCTGCCACACAGAAAAAACCTTTTTTCTTTTGTTTTTTAACCTCAGGTTGTTACATCACAGCAATGTGTAACTGTTTGGCAGTTGTCTTGTATCTGGTAGTAAGAGTTATTTGCTTTACAACTGTACCCCCTTACAGCCAACTCTTGCAAATACAACAAAACTAAAAATTACAATTTGCCAGCAACCATCTTACTCCAGTCTGCATCTGTCTCTTGGTGTGCCCCAAACTCACTGATTTAACTGCCAAACAGGACCAATCAAAGTTCATTCCAATTTACTTAATTTCACATCTGAAAAGCACTATTACTTTTTCTTGTTCCCTAACTGTAGGGAACCTCACTGCCCCTCATTCTGCCTTTCACATGCCCCTTCAGCCAACATTTCCCTACATGTCCTACAGCCCTGGCATCCTCCTTAATTTCTGTTCCCAGAAGTGACAGGGCAATATTACTCCACAATACTGACATCAAGATTTTGTCATTGCCACCACTCGAGCTGAAACTGCCCATCATTATCATCTTTTGTTCCTTTTGACTATACAAAGGCTTTTTAATAAGCTCCCAATTTTAGTTGAGGGAAAAAATTGTTTCTCTTGGCTTGAATATAAAAAAGATGCAACTACATGACATAAATGCTGAACTCTTTCCTTCTTTGCATGAAGAGTCAGATGAATAATCACAAGATTGTCAGTTTTATGCACAAACAAGAAAGCCCATCTACTGACATTTTATGGTTCCTACACACACCTACCCCTAGCATTTGCCTCTCCTTTCTTCAGTCAAATCACTGGAATAACAAGTTTCCCACTTGACAGCTGGGAGGAAAGAATGGGAATGGGGAATCAGTCATACTAAGAAAATAGTAAGACCAGTCTTTTTTAGTTCTGAGGGTACCTGATTCTCTCTTTTACCATGTTGAAGCAATGCCAGCACCAGCTGAAGGAGAGATGTGACACTGAGAAAAGCTCCACACAGCAGAACGAAGGTAAATGCTGGAAGTTGGTGTATTTTTAGCATTATATTTTTGCATCAAGAGCTTTCAGCATCAAAACCACAGGCTTATAACATGCAAAACCCAAAATCACCAAAAATTATACCCCTCTCTGTCTTGAAATACAGCTGTTAAAGACTGTGGTTTCTGGTTATGTTTTAGAGGTGGTGAGGACCCACTGCTCCCAGTGCAGTCAGGAAGGAGGAGCTTGCTCTGTGAATGTCTGAAAAATCGGAGCTAAACTGTCTTTCAGATTCACAAAAGAAAACTGAATTGATAGGAAAATCATGGAAGTGGCACAACAACAGGATGTTGTTGGCAATCCTTTTCATATTTTCTTTAAATAGATGTGGATTGCCAGACTCTGCAATGCATTTTGAAGAACTGTCCCAAAGTAGAGTTAAAGTTTAAGTGGTGGACAGTTACCGGCCTGTTCAAATGCATGATTTTTGAAGCAGAGAGGAGACAGCATCAACACCAAACTCTCTTCTTCTTTCATTTCTCTCTGATAACAATTAAGTTTGGCAAATCTGAAGAAATCAGAGCAGGGAACAGCTGACTTACAGACTTATTGTTAGATGTAAGTATATGAATGAAGGATCTCAGTAGAAAAAACAGATATTCAACCCATGTGTGATTTTATATGCAAGTTCTTCATTCTACAGTGTTTATGTAAGTTCAGGGTATTCCATTCTAAAAATAAAACCAACAACAACAAAAGAGATAAACTGGCTAGATCTATCATTTGTACATTCAGCTTGGATCCTGGGCAGAAAGGAAGAGAAGAAAAAAAAAAAGGTAATGCTTCTGCCTGAAGAGTAACCATGTCTGAGAGCTTGCTCTGCCAATCCAGCAAGCAAAGAAATCAAGATCAGAAAAACTATGATGAAAAATAGTCAGCAGCTATCATCTGAAACCTTTAAATCCCAACAGAATTATCTTTCCAAAACAATTGTTATAGCTCAACTGCAAGGTTTGGGCTTGACATTTGCTCAGTATCCACTCATGGCCTGGGTCAAGCCAGTCAGAGAAAGCAACTGCAGCAAGTTGGCCTGGGAGGTGTGTGGTGCAGGGTATTGCTGAGCACTGACCACTGTGTTCTAGCAGAGAAGCACAAAAGAAAGGAAGGTTGAAACTATCATGTGAAACTGTTATGTGGGTTTTGCAATGCATTTGAAGAAGAAAATCAGTGGTTTATAGAGACAAGATTTGTCCTTCTGTCAAGTCTCCAGAAAAGACAGTAATGGTTCTGCCTACTGGGAATCCCCAAAGTGCCTGAACTCGCAGACACACATCATGGCCATATTCCAAGGCCTCACTCCTCCTCCATGGAATGTGATACTGGCTTTTCTTTCTCTGTTCACAGGCATCTGAAGCTGATGTGGAAGTGCAGCACAGTCATGAGATTAAAAGCACTTAAACACTTACTGGTGGCTTCTACAGGGAATGACAGTACACAGGGGAAATTGAATCTTCAAGCTACCATTAAATTTGGTTTGAAATAAAAAAGCTGAAGTCCTGTTTTCAGAAAACTTATAGATAGTAGAAGTCATGGCATCATCAGACAAAACCAACAAAAGTTGCTTTCTCATATGTGAAATATTAACAGAACTTCTAACAGTAGCAGGCACATGACATATTGCAAGAACCTGTTTTGGAAGCCTCAAAATAAACTCACAAGTTAAGAAATAAAATCAAAGGATCAAGGAGTGAGTAAACTGTACATACAGGTTAACTGGCACATACCCATGGGAAATCTCAAAGACAGTGTATTTCAGTATGTTTGGTCAAGAATATGTAAAAACATAATCTCTTCAAGATGTCAGTGTGCATCTGCAGAAGTTCATGGGCCTAACAGATATTTTCATGGAAAAGGATAGAAAAGAGAGGGTCATTGTTCCTATCATCTCACCTAATCTCAGAGGGGAAAAAGGGTTCTAGCACAGAAGCTGGTGGGGCTCAGTGACAGAGCTTTAAACTATCTTGGCTGGGGGAAAGGGACAAAATTTGTATCACAAGGAAAAACTGTATCACAAACTTGCCAGAGGAGTGGATTTCAGCAGGCCCTCATATGAATACTGCTATGAATTAAGTGTGGGATGCCTCTAGCACTACAGTGGTTTAACTACTGGTGTTGCCCAGCAAAACATGTAGATTGCATAACGAAGTCATTGCGGACTATTGGGAAAGTATAAAAACATGGATGCAAACACATGCTTGGTGTTCTCATGGAGGACTCCTCCCAGAACAATCCAGGGGTTGACTTTTCAAATGTGGGTCTAGTAGGAAACTACACTTCCATGTTACAAATTATCACCTTTCTACACACTTCTTATATCACAAGAAAAACTGCATTTTAATTAGCATGGCATTTTTAGCATGAATTACATATTCACTTACTACTTATTCACAGAGAACATGAGTATTTTATTCTGTTGTTAGATAATACAGCAACAAAATGGAGTAAACCTGGTTTAACAGTGTTTGTTTAATAACTGCAAGTAATTTTTGCTAGATGTTTTATCCTAAACTTGTATAATGCTAATTTGGTATTGTACCAAGCCAAACACACCACACTGGCATGAATTTCAGCTTACCAAAACTAATATTATCTCACTTGCATCCTCAGGCTGTTTATTAACACCTCTTTGCACTTACAGTGCTGTGAGTACAGAAACTTAATCACAAACCCTAGAAGTAACTGATTAACATGTTACTGCTGGTCAGCTAAATTGCAGTATCTGACAAGATACCTGTTCCTATAATACATCACAAAATAAAACGTGTTCTGCTTTGTACTGGCACTGTACTGAGATATGGATTAAATGAAAGCCATAGATGTGGTCTTTTTTTTTTTTTCCCCTCTGAAGAAAATCCACAGAAATCACCTGGCCCCATGCTGGCAAGCTTGCAGAATTCAAAAAGCTGTAACTTAGCAGCCTTAGACTGGAAAGAAGCATAATCAACAAGGAAGTAAAATTTACTCTCTGTGTTCTTATTCAAAGCAATGCCTTGAAGCAGAAGGATTTTGAACAGTTCTCTGTGCTCAGTGCACATCCACAACCAGGGTGTGACCTGGAGACAGAAGGCCAGGGAATGAGCTACTGGAAGCCTGATTTCAGAACTCGTTGGCTGGTTCAGCATAAAAGTACAACCCTGAGGGCTCCAAGGAACATTTACAGAAAGCAGCAATTACAGAGGAGAAGAAGCACATTGGATGGGCAGTGCAGGAGCCATGACATGAGAAATCCTCCATTACTCAGATCTACCAAATCACCGCTGCCTTCCACTGGCAAACTAAAAAAAGTAGCTTCAACATCCCACAAAATCACAGCTTCTATCAAAGTTAGATCATAATTCAAGCACTGTGAAAGAGCAAGGAAAAAGAAAAACCAAAGATTTAGAACAGGAATGCTAAATAGAGCAAGAAGAATGCCAGTACACATGTATCTGTTTTAAGTTACAGGCAGCATCAATTAGGTTTCTTCTTTAAAGCCTCCTGAAACGAGCAAACTCTCCTTATAATATTTAAATCATGCAGTATTTCTTAAGAAGCCGAACACGGGAAAATGAGAATGCGCCGATTCACTACTGATTTTGGGTTTTTTACTGCATTCACTGCACATTTCCTTCCTCTTGAATTGACTTATCCCTATTTATCAGGATATTGATTTTTATATAAGAATGTTTGAAGAATTTTCATGCATTTTTTGGTGGAAAAATAAAAGACAGTACAGTGAAAAGACACAAAAATTCCCCTCCAAAAAGTGTAATACATATCTAAATAAAATACTCATATCATCCACCTAACCAATGTGCAAGAATCATGTATTGCAATTCTTTGCCAATCCTTCTAAGTAGTTAATATTACATATAGACATACTATGGAGAACAGATAACCAAAGAGCCCCACATCCAACAACCAGATTAGAAATTAAACAAACAAAAGAAAAATCATTGTTCCTTTGGATTAAAATTTTAGATTATTTATCATTCTAGGTTGAGACTCCACAAGTGTTTCCACTAGACAAATACCTCAGAGTTTGTGATCAACAAATAATTTAGCAGAATCCCAATGCTTTTCAGGTATGGTGTTCAGGGAACAGAAAACTAGGTTGCTTGATTTTGCTTTTTTAGATATGTATGGCTATCAAGAACAGAAAAATTGCAACATATCCTTTCTGAATTTTCATTTTGAATCAAAGGGAAAAAACCCCTTCCTTCACAAACACACATTATTTTACTTCACTATTAGTGAAGTAAAAGTATTTGCTTTTACTTCGCTAGCAAACCCATTGAGAGGGCATGGAACTCCTGTGGGATGACTCACTAAGAACAAAATTGTAAAAAATCAGTCAACAGCATTACAGAAAATATCTTTCCACAGCCAAGGGACACTAAGTACATATTTTTCTTTTCCCTTGCTCAAAAACAAATGTTACATTCAAAAAGCTGTATTAATTCAAGATACATGACTCTGATTTTATATGCAAGAACAGTTTTCCAAGTAGTATCTTTGAACACAGCACAAGTTTTGGCATCAAACCTAAGTAACACACTAGAACAAACTATTGAGGAAAGTTGTGATCCTCTGTTATTACTATTCTGCATGCTTATTCTTCTGATTAAGCTTAGGAACAGGTTCACAAAACTTCTTGGGACAAACACTTCCCCAAAGGTAAAAAAGTAAGCCATTGCTCCCTGTTTGTGCTCTTTGTAGGAGACAAAAAACCTAAACAAAGAAGGAAGCAAACTACCTCTGGACACAAAAATGAAGGCAATGATTTGCACCCATATGCTCCTTTTAGGAAATTTGGCCCTCAAACTGGAAAACATCCTTATGTCTCTGTTGTGCTTGCCCTATTTTGTCTGAATAAAAGAAAAGATTCCTTGAATGACCAACAATAACATCAGTCATGGCACACTGTTAAGTGGGCTCTATTGTAAGCAATCTTTACCTGCAGTATCTGCTGACAAAGACCAGCTATTGGAATAGTACTTTGCAGTGAACACTCTCCTGTGGAAGCTGCAGTACTGAAGAAAACACATTTAGCAAATCTGGAAGAAGTTTCATTTTGGAAACATTTTCAGAAAGAAGGAAAGAGTTTAGGAAACGTCACTGACTTCCTGAGAACGTGGAGTACCTTCACCATGAATCACTTGAGACCATCGTGGGTTTCATAAAAGCAAAATTATACAACAAAACATTTTAGGAACAACTTACCAATCAAGCAATTGGATATGGTTTGCTTAAAAAAACCCCCACATCTGTGATTTGGGAGAAAAACTGATCCTCAGCCAGATAAGCAACAAGGAGATGAGTGAACTGCTTTAACTGATGTAGGTCTCATGTTACAGAAGGTGTTCAGAACAAAATTTTCAACTATTATGTTTCAAAAGATTAATATTTCCAAACAACAGGTTATTTTAATATATAGATGAGGGAATAGGAAATTAGGAGATATGTTTATGTATGTGTCTCTCTACCCTTAGTAACCTGCGGTGCAAGATGCTAATGGAATTCTGACAGTAATAAATATAGATAAAGATCTGATTTGTTGGCTTGATAAATAGATGATATTAAAAATCTAAACTTTCAATGTAAATTTTTGAAGAAGTTCATTCAGCAGCTTGACAGTCCTCTGGTTTCCTTCTCCATGATGTTTAAATCTGTATGCAGTACGGAGAAGAAGGCTATAAACTTCCTTGCTTGTATCAGTTGTCTCAGTAATCTGAAGGAAAACAGAGAAGATGGGACATAATGCAATTATGTTGCTAAATACTAAAAATTCTCCATTAATATTTACGACAAAACCATAGATTTGTCCCTCACCATTGAACATGTGAGAAGCAACTTCTGCCCAAGGCATCTCTTTTCATTCACCTTAGTGGAACTGAGCAACTTTGAGATTTTCTACTGTTCTCTCAAGTTTAAGTGAAACAAATCAAGAGGTCAGAAACTAGTTAAAGGAAACACAAATGGATAGACAGTGTAACCATTTCTAAGTTATCTCCAGAGAAAACAACTAAAAACACATGAAGGTTCTGCGTGTGTTTGGGGAGACAATTCAATTCTGTAAAGCTTTCAAACGTAAAAATAAATCCCTCCCCCAGAAGATGACAGAATACCAGGGAAAGATCCTAAGCTGCAATTTTTGCAGATCAGAAGGGACTTTACTCCTTGTTATTTGCTGTGTTAAACCTGAAGTTTACTATGCTAACCAAAACCACAGCCATGCACCCCAAATTAGTTCGACACCATTCTGCCTTTCATATATTGCCTTCAGTCCTTTTCAAATCACATGGAGAGCCTTGCTACACATTAATGATTATACAGATACAGTCAAAATTAATTAGACTGACAAACTCTGGCCTACAAGAGCTCACAACCACCCTGCACTCAGTTTCGAAAGTTATGTTGCTTTCTATGAAGAAGCAAGAGATTGCCTTTGGTCTTTCTGAAGAGGTTTAAAGTCACAAGCTAGTACATTACAGCATCACAGCTCAACAGCTGCACTACTCAAGAGAAACTAGAAATAGTAGGCTGTAAATATACATATCCCTCCCCCCAATTTTATCACTATATTCTTATGCTTAGAAAAAAGTTGTTCATTTTTAAACTTGCACCTAAAGTGTGAGAATTATCTTAGCCCTTCCTAAACAGAGAAATGTTTTGTCTGTTTACTCAGACAGCTGTATCATAAAATCAGATGCCTTACACATGCCATATACCCTATAAAGATAGAAGAGCACTCTGCTGCTGAAAGGAAAACCCTTTGGGAGTGTTAAAACTACGCACTGGCCCTTGCATAGGAGTCATGAACTTCTTCAAAGAATATAGTTTTATAGTTAAGAAAGAATTATTAATCTCACACTGAGATAGCACTATCTTAAGAGACACAAACACATTTTGAAGTTTGCACCAATATTCCTGAAGGCTGTCATCAGCAACAAGAAGATACTGTGGCAAGTTTCCAACCTTTTACTCCTCTTCAGCTTTTTTCACACCCTAAGAGACACAGTCTGAGCTCTTCGTTCTTTCCTTCTCTCTCAGTTACCACACTGTTCTCCTCATTGGCTTTGCTAAAGCACCAGGCTTCTCTCACATCAATGCTAACACCTAGTAACCACCTGTTCTACCTAATGGAAAACAGTGAGAAGACAGTTTCATCATCTCTGCAGTAGCTGGATAATTTAGGGAGTGATTTATTATTGGAGAAACAACATGTTTGCACATGCTATCTTGCTATATGTAAATGAACTGTAGCTATCTCTTAACTGCAAGCTACTATTTCAACTATTTCTTCATCTGTATAGTCAGGACAGCAACCTTTTCAGTGAGATCTTATCAAGAAGTGAATGGAAAACATATTGACTGTAGCTGAGGTAGATTTGTAGCAGGTTGGGTATAGCTGCTGTAGTCATGGTCTTCTGTAATTCTCTGTGTTTTCTGTATTGAAAGGTAGAAACTTAAATCCAAAATAGTAAGATATATAACCTGAAAAAACAGAAAGAAGAAACACTCACATGGTAAATACATTCCTGGGCAACCAAATGTCCACCAGATGAAAAGAGCAAAAAGTTGGTCAGAAGATGTGTCATGAGATGCTGGTTCCAGCACTGCTCTGTCCCCATTATCCTGTGCACAGCAGCCTCCAGATCTCTGAGAGAAAGGTCTTTACAGCTGAAGAGCATCATTAGATGATTGTAGACTGCTTGAACTTCTACCTGTAGGAAATAATTTCAAAGGATGCAAGATCCTTTGGGATCTTGCAAGATTCCTTTGGGAAGAGTAAAGGTCAAATCTGTGGTATTTTTCTTTTGGATTTATTCACTGAAAGGAAACTGAATCCTTGGCAGAAACTACCCAAACATGAAAAGAGTTTGAATTTAGCTGGGAAAACAGGGAAGGAAGGGCTGTACACATTTCTTTTATACTGAATCACATACAGAGAGGTGGACAGAATGGTTTTTTTTATTTTCTTTGGTATTACAAATGAAGCAGACAGGCATCAAGCCAGGATTTTACCTTTTTTAATAATTTAAGGAAATGGAGAAAATCCCTCAGCAGAACATGGTCAGATTTTTGCATTGTGGGAAAAAGAACAGAGGCTCCTCAAGGGCTCATTTCAGCATTGCTGCTATAAATCACTTAAATCCCCATGCAACCTGACCTCAGCTGATAAAATGTTATGGTAAGAATGAAGTTTTTTCTTCTTCCTGTGTTACTTGCAACTTATGTTTTTATGTTGTGAGTTAGCCAATAAAACCTAATTTTTAATGAAAGTAGGAAACAGAAGATTTTGGCACCTACATAATGGAAAAAAACTATAAGCAACTACTGCAAAAAATCCTAACAATAATTCTGTTCACTGTATTAAAAATGAACCAAACAAACTTGTAGAACAAACACAAATGAGTGATTGCTGGAGCAATGGAAAAACACACCACTGCATACCCAAAGGAAAAGGACACCTGTTTCTCAACTATATTCATTGGGACAATTTGTTTCAGACATTGACCCACCCCTTTAATAATTTCACATCAAACAGTCTGAAAAAGCTGCTACTCTTGAATTAAGTGCACAAATAATACCAGAATCTACAGAAAGATAACTGGAATTCAGGATTCTTCATCCCCCTGTGCATCCTGTGTGCCAGCAACTGCAGATGGATGGCAGAGCTCACGTACCCCAGGAGTCTCATTCTTAGTGCCAACCTCCAAGTATTGTTCCTTCAATCTTTCAGAACCTAAAGGTATAAAAGGACTCCAGCAAATTCATTGAGAAGCCGAGTATTTAGTCCTGCACATATGAGTGAAGTCTAGTGAACAGCAGAAGTAGTTCCTATGCCACCTTAATCCTTAACTGGTGAGTGGTGCAGGGGTTCAGGTGGAAACCACTTCATGTGACAGAGCTGAGAGCTAACCTGCCAAAGGACAAATTAAAAAAAAAAGCAAACAGCTAACTATAGGCAGAGGCTTTGCATGAACTGTGGGAATGCCTCTGAAGTGGCCTGACCTATGGGGGGGGGAAGGTCTTAGTTCAAGTACCTAAGAAAAGAATGATAATGAACTGAAATATCAGACCTGTGGGAAAAGATGAGTAACTGCATGGGTTGTCAGTAGAAAAGCTCCTTTCTCACTAAAGTTTGTCATATGTTATGACAACTGATAGAATAGGGGACAGCCAGGGAAATTATTTCCTATATGGGACAAAGGGATTTCATTCTTTAGGGCTGGAGTTAGAACAATATTCCACACACTGATCTGCACCTGTAGTGCTTCCATTTCATCCACTCATGTTTATTGCTTCCATATTGCCTTCCTTCCTAAAACTGCGTTCTAAAGCCAACCCTGACTCCTTTACTTCACCACAGCTCTAACAAAACTCTACTCAGCCAACATCCCAGACAATAAGAAACTCAAGAGAAAAAAAATTTACAAGTGATTGATTGGGATATGATCTTGTGTTTGTAGTGCCATCTGGGTGGTGAGAGGGGGAAGAAAGGAAATAAAATATTGCATAATACACTGTTGTACATGGACCATTAAACATAAAATTAAAACATATTTTACTATTGTTGTGTACTGAGCTGCATTTTTAAATCAAACAGAACCCATTTTCAAATTAAGGAAAACCAGAGAAGTTGCAGCCAGATTCTGAATCTGGGCTTTGTGGATTAGATTGCTTAGGCTAGATCAAACTTGCATAGTAGGTTTAAATTAATAGGTTTCAAGTATTTGCATGCACACACAGACACACAGCACTCTCTGTGCAGTGCAGTGCATAAGGTTAGAACACTGTTCCTTCTGTCAGAAACACAGCATATGGGAGTATTACCTACTTATTACATTACATGCCAAAAACTAGTAAGTATATGTAAGAGAAATCAGGATAGGCAAGGTTAGGATTCAAGGCTGTGTCTGATAAGTATCTTTTCTGCTTCAGCTGCTGTGATTTCTTGTGTTTCCTTCTCAGCAGATGCCACAACACAGGAATGCTGGAATCCGCCACACTAATTTAAAAAATACCATCACCGGGGTAGTTTTACTTGTGATTAAAAGCACCCAAAGAAAGCCAAGAAGGTGCTAATCTATATAACATACTTTCAAAAGAGGAATAATGTTTTCTAAATGTCACAAGAAAATTCAAGAAACATTATCTTTCAACTTCTCCACTGCCACAATTCCATGGAGACCTTGTAAAGTCAATACCTTTAATTTTTCTGGTGTGCATTATTTGTTTTATAGCAATAAGACAGACTATTGACTGCTTATTGCCACTTATTGTCCCTACATCACCCACCATTGCCTGAGTCCTTTGCTGATTTTCATTCTGAGGACAGTAGTAAAATGCCAGCAGCCACAGCAAAGCATCTGGTTGTACAGCAGCCTTCAGCAATTGTTCTGCTGCAATATCCAGCCATTCTCCAAAACAAGTAACCAAATACCAGGTTTCAAAAAGGTCAGTGAGAGAACTGGAAAATAATGAAGATAAAATTAAGTATTTCTCATTATTTGACATTTTTAATTATCTTAAATTGACTGCAAAGGGTGCTGCCAGTTGACTTTAAAGGAATCTTTGAACTACTCTTCAACAGACCTCACCTGCTTTGTACTGTTTACTCTGAAGTCAGGATTTATCTGAAGTGATCAAGTAAGACACACACAGTGCTACCAGAGATTAACTTTGGCAGCAGAGCAGACTATCCACAATCCATTATTCTAATAAACTGTGACAAACTACTATGTATGAAAATATATATAATAAAATTAAACTCTACTGTTTATACTCTCCAGTTGAAGGATTTTCTAAACTTTCAATCATATCTCAAGTATTACACTCTAACATACTGTTGCCTTCCACTTTGTTGCTTTCCAGGGTTATTTGCTGGTTTTTGGTAATTTATGGAGCACATCTTTTTTCATAATTCATGAGGAATTACCTTTAGATGGACTAAATATAAAGTTTTAAAGGATATTAATCTCCTGACTCTTAAAATTCATGTCCTCTTTAATGAAAATTTTGAAGGTGTTTACAACAGGGTTATTGCTGTAAGAAAGGTGAGAATGGCCTACCTCTCATCTCTACAGTTTCTCACATGCACTGCTCTAAAGTTAGAAGAGATTAAAGACAAGAGAAGTAATGCCATGCAAACTAATGGCAGGGGTCTGAAACAAAAAGTTAAGCTATATATGGAAGGACAAACAGAAGGACAGCTAGGAGATTAAGAACCAGGAACAATTATTCCTAACAAATTTTGCAAACTTGGAATAGATGTTTTTCTTATGTTTTATTCCTAGGGACTCCAAAATTGCTGTGCCACCTTTCCCAGGAAACTCTAAGAGACCATCACATCATTTGGGGAACATGACAAGGTCATAGCTTTATCTTAACACTTCCCTGTACCATTACAGTGCCTGTTTTGGAGTCATGTACCCTCCACTTCTGACCCCACTGCTATTTCTGCCCTCTCTGTACTGGTACCTGTGTCCCACTGTTGTTGCCAAAAGTGGCCCTCTGCTTGTTCTAGACTTGCCCCCACAAAAGGTGCCTGAGTTGATTTCTGGTTTAAAATGTCATATAACACTTACTGTTCACTGAGATGACTACATATAATAATAAATCTGTTGATTAGAAGAACATAGAAAGCACTTTGTTGTAAGATTCTTCCCCTGGACTCAGCACTGGTGAGGCCACCCCTGGAGTGCTGTGTCCAGCTCTGGGCCCCTCAGTTCAGGAAGGACATGGAGGGGCTGGAGCAGGTCCAGAGGAGAGCAACAAGGCTGGGGAAGGGACTGGAGCACAAGTGCTGTGAGGAGAGGCTGAGGGAGCTGGGGGGGCTCAGCCTGGAGAAGAGGAGGCTCAGGGGAGACCTCCTCACTCTCTGCAACTCCCTGACAGGAGGGGGGAGCCAGGAGGGGGTAGCAGCAGTAGGACAAGAGGGCTGGGTCTTGAGCTGTGCCAGGGGAGGTTTAGGTTGGAGATGAGGAAGAATTTCTTTCCAGAAAGGGTGCTCAGCCATTGGAATGGGCTGCCCAGGGAAGTGGTGGATTCTCCGTCCCTGGAGGTTTTTAAGGTGAGACTGGATGTGGCATAAGTGCCATGGGCTGGGTGTTGGATCAAGGGTTGGACTTGATAATCTAAGAGGTCTTTTCCAACCCAGCTGATTCTATGGTTCTCTGATTCACATTTGGTGTAAAATAAGACTGCTGAAAACCAATCTATATAACAGAGAGGATGGGATATAAGAAGCAAGAAGATATGCTGTATAATGGTATTTTTTTCTTCTCTGCAAATCTTATTAAGTAGAAAGCATGTAGAATCAGGAATAAAGCAATAAAAGAAAATTGAATGCAGTTTCCTCATGGATATTAGTATTTAAAAATCTGTTAGATCCATTTTCTTTGTAACTGAGAGGGGTTTGATAGAAAACGTTGTCACAAGAGTTCTAAAGGAACTAAGAGTATATTCAGGCAAATACAATATATTCAAAGTAGTGTACTATGAAAGCAAAGGGGGAAAAAGACAATACAAGCTAAGAAAGGGCTCATAACAGAAGGAGAACAGACATGCTTATATTATTGTAATGCATTAGGATGGATGTATTTGTTTTATTTATTTGTTCTAAGCTTCAGTTTTGTGTTTCTTTAAGAAGCCAGAGTCAGCTCCTGGTCACATTCCAAGGACAGAAAGATTTGACACACTTCAGGGACAAACAGGCAAGACGTGGCACCAAGCTGCAGCTCATACAGAAAGTGAGAAGCTACAAGCAGACAGTCTGGCCTCAGAGGGAAATGAAAAAAAGCTTTTTTTCTGCCACTCGGCAACAAAGAAAAGCCCCCATGAGTTAACTGAAACCAAGCATGGTCACAAGTATCCTTTTTCCAGGACACAGGGAGACAGCTGGGTATTTTGTTTTGCAAGTCTGTTAGGCCAAGGTGTTCTATGTTTCTTTTGAAATATCTCAAGTTTTAAATCAAAATTAATTTGGTTTCTTTGAATTTAAAAGCTGTTTAACATTCTTTGGGCAGCCCACTGTCAGAACAGAGCTAAGCAGACTTGTATCTGAGCTCTGTCCGAGTCACATCTCATCACACTCCTGATTAGAAAGCATTTACAGGGCAGCAGCACAGAGAAATATATGTGTTTTTATTCTTTTCATATAGACCCCTACCAAAGCAGAATTCATGTAGATAAACAATATCAGTCACAATTGCAACTATTTGGATAATAAAAAGAAAAAGCCAAGGGCAACAGGTCAGAGACATGGAGTGTCAGCTCAAAGAATAATGCAACAATGATACTGCAGTCTGGCAGGCAGATATTTATGAAAACAATCAAGAAGCTTGAAGTTTGGATGTTTCCACAACCCTGCAGAAAGCCAATCCCAGCTTCTTCATCAAATAGTTTTAAAAGTTTTCGGGGAGAAGTGGGAGAATACGCAAGTAAGCATTTCCATTATACACCTAGTTATTTGTTGAAAGGAAGACAAGATTTTGTTTATTCAGAGGCATATTGGTCAGGTATATAAATCCTACAAAGTTCAGGTTCAGTAAGTAATCTAACTACTATTCTTTAAAACAAAGCTCCCTTTAGAGAATAATAAGAAAATGAAGAAATGTAGCCACTAAAGACTTCAATTGACATGACTTTTTGCAAGGTAACATGCAAAGGACAAAAAGGTAGAAAATCTTACACTGCTTACCTAACGTTTGTATCTTCTACTAATGCTTTGAGCATATCTGAAATGTTTTTCAAGTGTTGAGACCAAGATGTAGTTGGGAGTTCTGAGGATGGAGGATGAAAATAAAACTTTTAAAATCCTAGTCTGTCCAACTAGGACATAACAGTGAAACCAACCACATCAAGCTAACTTTAATGTTTCTGCAACTTGATTCAGTTAGCACACCAAATTTAAGATTTCATTTTAAATTTTCCCATTTTCAACAATACCTATTGCTCTGTTTCATAGAACAATTCACTGGCAAGGCCATGTGAAGAAGCACAGCTAGGAATATTCAAATGAGGTTGATGTTCCTTTGTGTAATTGCTACCTCAATATTAAATCAGTGGAGTAACATTCTCAGAGACTCTTGTACTGAGCTTAAATTATTGTTCATAAAAAATGGAACTATGTCAAAAAGTGGTTTCTTGATGTGTATGAATGGAAAACCTGAAAAAAAGTTGGGTTTGCAGTCTAAAATATCAGCAGAATTCAACCTTCAGAGACCAACAGAAAGCCTCTTTCTTGTAATAGACATATGAAATTTTTCATTGCGACAATTACTTATAAGATAAGAAGATGTAGTACATAGATCCCAGTAACATGGCTTAATTCCTACACAGTTAGGCACTCTTTCTTTGTCATTCACTTCTGGTTTAGTTTTTGTTAAAGTTACATCTGTAGTATTGTTACATAAGAATTAGATGTTCCTGCAGAAAAATCCATTAAAAGAATATTGTTGAAATTGCTAAGTCAATCACACCCTATTTAGGAAATGGCAAATCTTTGTCTCCATCCCTTTTAAAGTTATTTTAAGACATATCCAGACCATGCAGATTGGTATAGCTGCAAATAGTTCATGAAGGAACTTACCAGAGGGACGTCTGAATAAAGCTCTTACCAGAGGCTGGTGATGGCAAGGGAAGTACGCCTTCAATGGGAATTTGTGCTAAGACACAAAATCATTATCTTAACTGGTTTCTAGTCAGTTTTCAAAACAAAATCACAGTCAACAATCTCATCTAAGGTAGTAATTAACAGTACAGACTGAAGCAAGAGAACAGAAAATTGACACCATATTTAATTTTAGGATTTTGCATAAAGAAAGGGGATATTTAGGAAATGCTTATGAAAAGTAATTATTTTAAAAGTATATGCATCACAAAAGATTCAGAGCATGGAAAAAAATATGACATTTTAATAGTCCTAGGCTTTTGCCCTGTAATCACAAAAGTCTTCTTCTTAATATGCAGAGGTTAAAAGAGATACTAATTAGTTTAAGTTAATTTTCCAGTGTAAACAGATTCATGGATCATATTAAACTAAGAACTAATAACATCTATAGAATCTGAGGACTTTATTGCCATCTGTTCAAAACCAGAAACCTAAAATCCTTAGGATCTGACTCAGTACCAGGTAGGGCAGTCACAGGTAACAGATTTGCCCTGTATTTATCTGGGTATGTGCAATTTTTGTCCTGTCAATGCTGGTTATTGAGTAACTGAGTAACTGAGACAAGCTGCACCATACCTTTAATCTTTTTGTTCTGCAAACACTTACTACAGGCACATCTAACATGTGGCATGTATGTGCAAGTGCCACATGGACTCCCTCTAAGGTAGAAAGAAAAGCAGCTGAAAGGCCAGGCCCAGAGGGTGGTGATCACCAACTACCAAGAGTACAGCAGAGTTCAATACTGGGCCCAGTCCTATTTAACATCTTCAATAAGGATCTGGATAGAAGGGCAGAGAGTTCCCTCAGCAGGTGTGGTGATGACACAGAGCTGGGAGAAGTGGCTGGTATGTGAGAGCATTGTGCCGCATCAAGCAAGACAGCTGCCTGAAGCTGGAACACAGACCCAATCGCACTGCTAATTAAAGACCAGTATGTCCCAAATTACAAGAAGTCCCAACATTTCATTAAATACCATCTCCCCCAAAAGGTGCAAAAATCAAAGGAATTGGAAATTTTCTTAACTCTAAAGTGAAAGCTACTAAATGACAGAGTACTTTCCAAACTTGCATCATATGAAATGGAATTCAAAAACCAAACAAAATGGTCAGGATGTGAAATTACAGTGTGACTTGGGAACCTGAAATCAAGTTTGCAACCTATAAACAAGGCAAGACCTTTTCATACCTGTATTTTGAAATTTAAAACCAAGAAACTGATTTTGCTCTTGTTTAAATTAACACATCCAAAAGTAATTCAACTTAATTCAGTTCAGTAAGACCTGTACAAAAATGTGTGCAGAAGAAGAGATACTAAGCTGGGAAATCTGAAGATCTAGACCAAGGAAAAGTTCTGGGAGGCCAGTATTGAAGACCAGAAACTGAAACCAGTATGTATTCTGTGTCTTTTATCTCCTGAATAGACAAATATGACTATTCAGTATCTTAATTATTTAGGGGACTGAGGATGTGGTTGTTTTCTCTGCTTCATTTATTATCGGAGACCCTGCTACTGCAGAATAAAAAACATCTAACGTTTTTCATCTTTTTTTTATCAAAGATGGGTGCTTATGATCATGTTCACTCTACAGGCAGAAACTTCAGCATCAGGGGAAACGAGCCTGGCTGCAGGAGTACTCCAGGGTCAAGTTAGGTAAACTGCTCTTACATATTGGTTTCACAATATAATTTTATGCACAGGTGAAAATGTTTGAACTGAACTTCAGCATATCTATGCAGCTGTAGAGAGATGCTATTATGTATCTCATTATATTCAGTTACTTCTCTTAAAATTCTTCATTTTCTTGTGAAATTTTGTATCTTCTCACTGAAAAGAAGTTAAGAAAGAGATCTTGACTACCTGCTCGTTTTGATTCTGACGAGCCTCAAGGAAGAGCTGTGTAAACACCTGTATTATGGTCATAACTTCTGAAGCTCCATCAGTTTCCAGCAGTGCATTCCTAGGCATTGAAAAGTTAAAATATGACAGATCAGATAGTTAGTCTGCCCATCACATCACTGTTAATCGAAAGGAAGAAAAAAGGTATATTCTTTGTATGCTGTAGGTTCAAGCTGTGTCTGAGCTCATTACAGAAGTGTGGACACTAACAGAAACAGTAACTTTGTAGGCTTTTTAGATTTTATTTTTAATTAAAAAAAAACAACCCTGTACACAACTCCAGCAAATAAACTAGATTTAGTAAACATCTACAACATATATGCAGACACACATCATTTACCCTACCAACAACAACTTTATTAGTCAAATCTGGCATCTGAAGAGTTTTACTGAGTTAAAAGCAACTATTCCCATGATGAGGTTAAGCATACTTTAGTGTTTTGTGGGACTGCATCCCATAGGCCACTCTAGAGTTCAGGAAGGTGAATGCTGGAACTGGCCTTCCATAGTGCATAAGAACCTTGACCAAATGGAGCAGAAAAAACCATGTGGGCAGCAATTTTCATTCTCTTATTTGAAAGACATCTAATAGTAACGAGAAAAAATGTTCAAAGTAAGTTGCCAGCAAGAGATGTTTTTTATTAGAGAATTGTTTCATTCCTTCCATAATGATCTAAAAGATATGAAGAGCTAACAAATTACTGTAACAGATAAATTTTACAAACCTACAGGCAAATATAATCACTGATGCAAAAAGAAGAAATGGTACACAGAAACTTAAGACAGTTGTAGGGACTTCTGTATAGCCACACATAGCAAGAAAATATTGGGAAATAGAAACAGAAGTTAATATCCTTGTGATAAAATAATTTAGCACTATTAACCTCAATAAATGTACACAAATAGCAGGAGAAGTTATTCCAGAAAAAGTCACAACGCTTAGATCCACACTTCTAACAGAACATTAACCCCAAAAATAAACCAAGTTTTGTGCCAGCTATAGAAACCTAACAGTTTCCAAGCAAGGAAGAACAAGTTCTTTATCAGCACTTCTCTAAAATCTCATGTGACTAAATCTAGAATAGTATCTTAATGTCTGCACACCACTTGATAATAATTGGAAGGATATCAGAGAAATACAACAAAAAGAAACACAAAGCTGCATAAACCAACTTGTCTGCAAAAGCTAGGTAACATACACAGTTTGATGTAAATACCAAGAGGACTGGAAACAAAGTATTTTTAAAATATATTAAGATTTCAATATCAGCAATATAGAGGAATAAGCACACTATGTAGAAACAATTCAAAGCAAACAAGGGAGCAGGAATGTAAGCTGAGCAAGAGGAAAACATGATGATTTTTTAAGACAATTTGGAACATTAATAGAAGCGCAAAGTTTTATTAGGAAACACTGTGCTGGACAAAGTCCTGCATTAGCTAAGAAACAGCAAAGAAACAGCATCTTATCCACTTCCAGTATCTACCAAAGGCAAAGGATGCAAAAGAGTTATGTAGTCTCATGTTATTTTTAGAAAATATTTTATACACCATGACCCTAAATAAGCCAAGAAGCTTGAACAAATTTTGTCTCCCTGGACCATCGCAATATGCAGCCTCAGCCTAGGACATCAGCACAGGTCCGTTCAAGTGCCATCTACTTGTAAGTGCATCTTGCACTGGGGAAGTGCCTGGTCTCAGCTCCTCAGGGAACACTCAGCTATGTGCAGACACAGGGCCACAGCAACAGGAGGGACTGCAGAGCAGCAGCTGCCAAGCGCTGCCACTCTCAGAACACAGTGCTCTGCAGTTCCTACAGCAGACTCCTCTGTCAGTGCCTGCACAAACCTGAGCATGCACGGACACACAGACACCCTCAAACACACGTACCTGGGAGCCCTGTTTGCTTAAGAAGGTACACACTTGATGAACAAAGGATGTCAGTCACTAAATACATTATTGTTGTATCAAATCTGTAATACTGATAGACCTGGCAGTAGATCTACTTAAAAATAATAAGTATTAAGTCAAGTGAAGCACAGAGAAAAAGCCACTGAAAACTGAGTAGAAAGGAGTGGAAGCCCCCATGTGGCAACCAGTATATATTGCTTCAAAATAATTTTAATGAATTCAAAACCAAACTCATTATTCACAGGCAGATCAATAGTTTAATGCCATTAAGAGCGTACCTAGTATAAACCCTGAAGACCATTAACATAATGTAAAAGAGGCTACCGTGGTAAGTGCAAATGTTTTTGCTAAATTCCACCTTCATGCTGGCATGGCACAAGCCATTTCAGCATTTATAATTTTCACCTCAAAATCATATTTCAACCACAAACCTCTACTGAAGTACAAAATAAATTATAATTTTTAAAGGCTAAAATACAATGTACCAATTATATCATTACATAACTTTTATGTAAAGTTCACAAGATTTTAAACATTTTTCATTATTTGCAGGGTACTACCCAAAAGGGGACTCTAAAGCATACAGGTAAAGAAAAAGATATCCTGAAACTATAATACATCACAGACTACAATACTGCTTCTTCTCATGAAGAAAACCTCAATGTTTAAGTGGATCATTTGAAACTCTCCCCACTATCATTTCAAAACTTACTTGAAAATTTCATTTACAACTCTGAAAATGGCAGGATGGCTTGCTGCTTGTGGCTGTTGATAAACAAATGAAAGAAAATAAGGTATTAATAAGAAACGACTCGCACAACTGCCACTGTATAATTCACAGCTTAACTCATGGATGCTATTACATAGCCATTTTTAAACTGCAACTCTCAGATCAGCCCTTACTAACCCCTCAGATTTTCTCAGGATTAGCATTCTTAGGATTCTACACAGCAAGACCAAGCAGGCTCTACAGCTGATAAATGCAAACACCTGGGATCCCAGGCTGTTTATGACAACAATCACCACAAATACTGAAGGTGGCAGACAGAAAGAGCAGGTTGTTGCATGCAATTGCTGGAGGCAAGGCACAGTTTTCAAAAAGCTTTTCTCTCCCCTTCGCAGGCAATCCCTTTTGGATGTGCTTTGAGACTTGCTACATCTTCAACATTAAATTCCAGAAATTAAATTGATTTTACCCCCTCTGTCTTTAATAGCATTGCATGCATTTTCATCCAAGGCAGTTTTTCACAGTATTCTCTTCTTCTGGGAATTCAGAGTTGCTAGTACAAGCTAAATCTCTCAGTGCATCACAATGTGGTTTTTTAAACTAGTGAAGGTTTTTAACCATGCTACCACACAAAAGACTGTTTTAAGGAGGTTATTATATTAGACATGCACTAGTAGACACACTACTTTCTAATTCCATATTCTTAGGCTTTTATATACCATCTGGAATAAAAACTATTTACACATTCCCCAAAGTACCAAGTTAAAGCCTAAGTTAAAAAAAAAATCCTCACTTTCTGTGAGGGGGACACCTTATCTTCCTCTACAACTACCTGAAAGGAGGGTGTAGCTGGGTGGGAGTTGGCTTCTTCCAGGCAAGTAGCAACAGGACAAGAGGACACAAGTCTCAAGCTGTGCCAGAGGAGGTTCAGGTTGGACATCAGGAAGAATATTGTCATTGAAATGGTGGTTAAGCATGGGAACAGGCTGGCCAGGGAGGTGGTGGAGTCACCATCCCTGGAAGTGTTCAAAAAACAACTGGACATGGCACTTAAGAGCCATGGTTTAGTTGCCATGGTGGTGTTGGGTCAAAGGTTGGACTTGATCAACTTGGAAGTCTTTTCCAACATTAATTATTCTATGATTCTAAGATAACAAGGTGGAAAAACAAAATGCAGCAAAACAGGCGGTTTATAAAGAAGAAGCCAACAAATTTTAAGCCCTCTCAACCTATTGCACTTCTCTTGCAAAGTAACTTTGAAAGAAATAAAACTTATTTGGAAAGCTATCTCAGAAGCAAACACAAACTATAAATGACACCCATTCATTCACATCTCTTTTTAGATACATGGGCTCTAAAAGTCTGTGTACATACATACCTATCCATTCTTGGTAAAGCATAAAATACTAGTTGTTAATGCCCTTGTACAAACCTCAGTTATGTCAGAAAGGAAAACATCTACTCACCCATCCAATGCTGAAAAAGCTAAAAGATCATCTGTGATGGTCACTTCACTTGTTTTTATTACTTCTGAGTAACTGCAGAATTTCCAGTATTAATTTCAGTTTAGCCCCAAATCCACAAACACAATAGCATACCATATAAACACAAGTTAGTGGACCATCACACTACAATTACTCTTGGAATTAAAATATATGAGTATTTCATATCTAGTTTCTTTCATAATAAGTATGGTGGTTTACAATTATCTGGCTACCTCAGATCTCTATGAGGTTTATGTACAATATGGTTACTGTATCAAGACATTTTATTTAGATAAATTACTCTGATAATACATTTATGAGAGATTATTGAAATTTCCTGCTTATAATGTACTATAATCAAATCACTAACATATTTCACCCTATTTGTACTCCAAAGGTTTTCTTCCAAATAGAAAAACGTAAATATAGTTTTGTTTCATGATTCTCCTTTCTATTACCATATCCATAAGGCAAACAGATCTTATATCCTACAAATACCATAATCCAACTGCCAAAAAATGCACACCCACATTCCTAAATAAATATTCAAATATCTTTCAGGCAGGCTAAATTAATTTTACTGTTGGATTCAAAGTACTGACTGACTTAATATCACACAAGTATCTTTACAGTACCATGTACATATACAAAATATCATTATGCATTTAGAACACAATTTCTGGATCACATATTTTCCTTCTATACTGCCTCTCTGAAGCTTCTCATCTTGTTGGTTTTAACTGTTATGCCATCTCCCATTTATGCACTCTCCCTCTTATCAATGCCTATCAATCAGCAATATCCATCTGCCAATTGCTCTCTTCCTTAATGCCTCCATTCATTCCACGCCTTGTCCTCAGGATGTCCTCTCTACATCACCACTCAAAGCTGCTGCACTGGTCTTGACACTCAGTGAATATCTTATTTTGAAAGTACAAAGTCTTTGGAGCAAGCAAAGACAACCTAAGTACTAGCACAGCAATGTTCCATTCTTTTCAGAGATAGGGATGTGAAGACAACTTAAGTTACTTTACATTTTTAATAAATAACACTTAAACAATTCTTAAATATTTTACTTCTTTTTATGTGTGTAGCCTAGACCTTTTATAAAAGATATAGATATATTTTTGTCCTGAGCTGGTATATGGTGTAGTACAGTATAGTATGTACAACTCATAGCATATCTGATATAGAAAAATTAGGCATAGGCCCTGTCTATAGCCTTGTCTCCTGGAACACCTAAATTCCCAGATTACATATGAAGAGCTGTTGATGCCAAGCATTTACAAGATTTGCAAGTATTATAATGGATCCCTAAAATAAGAGATTTGCAGATTCAATCAAAAAGGAAGAAAATTTAAAGGCAGCATTCTTTTCCTAGCTAGAATGCATACTCTGTAAGGAGTTTCATTGGCTGAAAATAAAATATCATTTTATGAAACATATACTTAAGTGCATAGCACACATGCTATTTCACACTGTAATTAACAATTACATTTCTATTTAGTGTTGCAAAGTAGCTCATTATTTTGTAAAAAATACTGTGGCATGTTTTGTCTTAGAGAAGATTTTTGGTACTCTGCATAACCCAGCATTTTAAAACAAATTTTAATTACAGTTTAGCAAATGTATTGCGTTGAGAATTTTGTTCAGGTTTGCAAACAAAACCAAGTAACGGAGCAGTCTATAATAAAGTATTCTACAAGGAATTTCAACTGTTTAAACAGCTGAACTCCAAGGGCACAGAGACTGAACCGAAAACACATTCAAATCCTCTCTGGCCAAAGTTTACAATTTTTTAAGACAGAGGCAGGTACTCAGCTGCCTCTCCAGTGAGATTATTGTTTCTTTATCCATTCTGCAATACTGAATGAAATCTTTTTTTTTTCCTTTACCAATTCAGGGTAAAAATTAAAAAAGCAGTGATGTTTGTAAGACTCAATATTTGGTTTTCATTAACAAGTCATATGTCACATAACAGCCATTTCCTTCAAATCTGCTGACATATTTGAAAACTGCCCTGCATGAAAGAGCAGTGTCAAATGTACCACATGTTGCACATACCAGTAATGAGTCTTTTATGACACAAGCCACTTCTTCCAGTGAGTTCAGCTGAATGGAAACCAACTGGTCTAAAAGATGTAAGGTCGCTTTTTCCAGGCTTGGTGAGTGCCGAAGCCAGAGGCTGCAGACAGCTGAGTCAGGAAGGGAGATCTTCTTCCTGGTTTGAGAGAAAAATATGGTTTTCCCTGAGCAACTGGAAGAAAGACAAAAATTTCCTCTTTTTTTAAACATATTTAAACAAGACACAAAGAGCACCCTGAAGCAAAAGAGATAAAATCTTGCCTACAGCACTCTGTTTAACATCAAGTCATAGCAAAGGGTGACAGGGAATCACCATCATCTACAAATGTAACTTTACCACGTGTGTTTAAAACCTAAAAATTTGGTCATGATGGATCCCAGCCAATGGAAAAAGAAGGTTTAAGTCTGGACTTCCTGTCCTCTCTAGAGAAAGGTCCTGCCCAACACTTGTGCTCTTTTAAAACTGGACTAGTACCTGCAGACAGCTGCTGACTGATAAGCAGGAAGGTCCTGCATAATATTTCTGCTGTATAACAAAAGCATTACCTGTCTGTGCAGAGAAATAAGGAAAAAATCCAAGCACATTAACAACAAAGGGAAAAAAAGAAAAAAAAAATAAAACAAATTACTTAGAGGTAGCTAATTCTTCAGCCCACCAACACTGTCCAGAGCTGTTTAAAAGAAATGGTTAAGAAGGCAAGTTATCTCTTCACCTAAAGCCTTCATCTATAACTCAGCTGAAGTACAGTGTTGTACCACTGGGGAAAAAAGGGCACAGTGTGGGCCAGCACAAATCAAAATATGCCAAAGTAACCACCCAAGAAGAGAAACCACAGCACAATACATCCTGAAATACTTTTGTAACTATTATGACAGTTGCAAATTAAAAGGTTAAAACCAAATACATAAACAACGAGAAATATTTGCCTTGGTCTTAAATCAAAAACCCTAAAATTAGTCTGGAGAGGGTATGCAAACTAAAGCTATTGATAAAAAAAAGAAAAATACCAGCAGAAAGAATACTTAACACCATGTCAGGATCTATTTTCAACGAATTTATTTTGCCATATGTTTATTTAAATATCAGCCTTCTGAATTCTGAATTCCATTGAAAAGCTCTATTTTTTTCCATTCAATACTATGTAATGACTTAAAAAGTGTACATGTGTAGACAAGGAATATATTGAAGTATCCAGAATTCCAAAACTGAAAGGAACGCTCCATTTCAGGATGCTGTTTAATTTAGTGTCCCTATTAAAGCATATATGCACATCAAAGTAAATTAAGAATGACAAGAGATTATTTATTTTGCCATGGTCATTTTTTTTGTTGTTTTAATGGTAGCATGGTAGATATTACAGACATTATGCCAAGCAAGAAAGCTAATAAACTTACAGAGATGTTCCAACTCTAAGATTTCAAAACCATGCAGGAAGTAAACTGCAGTGATTATACTCCTTTGATTATATTGAACTTGCAGATGGTCCCACTGAGACAATGCTGAGTTCTGTGGAGCCCTGTGACCACCAGCATTTAATAACCCTGTTTTCTGGAGCAGGCTTCACCCATGTTCAGAAGGAAGATGGGTGAAGAAGATGACAGGGACAGTCAGGGAAAATAGACTTCAGTCTTCAGGGGGAAAAAACAAAATCCAAGTACATTTCTGTTAAGATCACATGAGCTTCAGTGACAGACCAGGAATATATAGCACAAAACACATTTGAGCCTACCTGTGCTATGAGGGAAACCAAGCACTTCGTGAAGGGCCTTGCAAGAGCCACTTAGTCAAAAGCCACATGAACTGAAGGATTTTTGCTCTCTGTGATAAGTAAGTAGCTCCAAAGTTAAGAAAAGAGACACTTACTTCAGTCCAGAGGATGGTCATACTCACAGTACCAAGTGTCAGGAGTCTGCCCATTACTGATATAAGAGAAGCCCATCCACACTGAACCTGTGAACCTGCTAGGAAAGTTTTCCAAACTGCATTACTGCTTGTGCAACTTGTACAACCTGAAGCCATGAAAGGTGCACAAGTGAAAAAGTGAAAGGCTGCTCTGTCTTTTTTGGGCACATCTTTGACTCCACATTCCTTTTTTTCTTTCCTCTTCCTCAGCTTCTAGTAATGTGCATAAATTAGCAGTTGTGCCTTTCCATTAATTATTTATTTTTTCTGGAGCCCTCAATGGAGCACTATAAAAATCCTCTCTGGAACATCTCAGAAATTATGATGAGTACAGAGGAAGCAATTAAAGCTTTGTTTAAAAAAGGAGAGAAATGGATAATTGAAGTAAAGTGTTCCCAGAAGACGGTTTCTAGGAAAAAAAAAATTTGTTTATAATAAAGCTCCTCAGCTACAACTTGAATAAAGCAACTCTCAAACAAAAGTAGGCTGTGCTTTCTCTGACATCTTCCCTCTCCTGGCATAGCGAATCTTGCTGATGTTCAGCTTCACCCAGCTGATTTTCATCCAAAGATTGACTTTATCAGAACAGTGGGTTTAGTGGCAGCAAAAGAAGCAAAGTTATATTTCACAAATTGCTCCTCTAAGACTCATTAAAAATAGTCTGATGAAAACCAGGAGAATTTAAATTCTTGAGAACCAAGAACACACACACACAAGAAATACAAAAACATCAAACATTAAGATCTATTTTGTGCATAGAAAAATGAAAATGGTTCCCAAACTGTCAAGTTAGGAATGGTGATACATTTACATGAAAGGTTAATGACATTTCTATGAAAAAAGATCACATCTTTCACAAAATTACTAAAATCTATTGAAGACTTAAACCTCCATTTTAGAGAAAGAGTGGGACAAAGTCCCAGTCTATATTTAAAGCTGTTATGTCACAGTTTGGTATCAGCAATACAAAAATCTGCTTTGGCCTACAACCTCAGCTCTGCTATTCAACTGCAAGGGAAATATTTTATTAGAAAGCAGGTGCACAGTGCATTCAGGATATAAACCCGGAGAAAAGACATTTAATTGAACTAATAATCTTTATGAAAGAGCATAAAAATTATACAGACCACAGTACTTACTTTAAAAAGGTCTCATTCACAGCCTCCAGAAACTCTGGACAGAGAATTTCTTTTGGTGAACCTCCATGGCAAAGAAGAAGAGTTTCCAGCAAGGGAGTCAGGTCAGGCAAAGTAATGAGAGGGACACAGCAAATGGACACAGCATTCACACGACTGGCTGAAACACTGAGGGAAAAATAAACACAGCTCCTATTTCAGAAAAATCAAACCTTTTAATCTCTAAACTGATAACCTAAAAAAAGAGAATTAATTACAAAAGGTTAAATGTAAGAGATGCATTCCTAACTACTGAAAAATTATTTACTGGGACGACTGTTGACATGTCATTACATATTGCGTGGAGAATCTCAAGAAGTCAGACAAAATTTTGAAATTTAAGTGCTCAAAGTAAGCCATGTGAAGGATATCAACTCAATTCTGAATTGAACCCAGTTGTGTTGGCTCAGTCATCACATCCTTCCTAGCAGGGAGTGCTTTTTCTTTCCCAGGATCAGTGAAGGAAGACTACAGAGTCACAGCTCCCACAGAACTTTGCTAGACCCTCAGGAGAGACCACCAAAATGCTTTTCAGGCCTCCTGTTGCTTTTTTGACCTCTCTCCTCTCAACAGAAACAATATATATGAACAAAACAATATGTATCCTGCGTCTTCAAGTGCTCAGCTGAAAAATTTTGTCTTACAGATCTACAGTTGAAGGAATACGTAGTTTGGATCTTAATATACAAACCACTCACTTGACCTGCTCACTAAAGCTACATCCTTGGAAATAACTAAAGACAGTGGAATCTGGAACATAAACAAAACATGGAAGCTTTGGAACATTAAAAAAAAAAAAAGGAAAATGGCAGAGATTAGATTTGTAAAAGGAAATCATATCTTTTCCAGAGTATACATAGTTTCTAGCACATGAAATGTAGCTTTGACAAGAAGACACTTATGAAGATCAGGAACTATGAAATACTGAATTCTAGCAAATTAAAAAGTGCTAGATTGTCTGTAAAAGGGTTTCTTGAGTTCCTGCAAGTTTCTCCTGGCTGCAGTGTTCACTAAAATGGGTGCATCCTTTGCAAGAACCCACAAGTATTTTCTTTGGGGAGTCACCAACACTCCCTCTGAAGAGCTGGGATGGGAACTGCACTGCAGGCTGCTCAGTGTGGACACCAGGTACTTGTCATTTCCACAGGGAGAGAAATAAAACATGATATGTTTTCAAAGACACATATTTCTCAGTAAATACCTAACCAAGTATATGTTTAAGGTTTCTTACACTGAAACACCTTGAGATGCAATTCTGCTATGACAAGTGTTTCCGTAGGAATCGTAATTATTTGGCTCATATTTACTGTGCAGCAATGCTTTCCAGGATCAACATGTAAAATTCACAGACCTGAAACTCTAAATCAGTCCCCTTTGCAAAAAAATTCTAATTCCTTATCTAGGATTAGCAAAGTTTACTCTTACTTAACTTCAGAAGAAAAACTCTGCAAAGGCAATTTTCTTCTCTGTCCACATAATCTTCAAAATATGCTCTTGGAGAATCCTGCACAGTGCATTCCACTGTGTACAACAAATTTGCACAGACATTGCAATCTGTGTTGTTTTAAGCGCCACTAAATGGAGAAAGGAGAAAATGTGCACCTCTAAATGCAAACTACTTTTGTCTTTGGAACTTCAATAAACACCATATCATAATTTCTACACTCAAAAATCCACCTCAGTTCAAAATTTTCCTTTTCTCCCAGTAGGAACCAGGTATTTCTGTTCACAACACTCAGGAGCTTTCCAGCCATGGCTGCCTCACCCTGGTTTACAAAACCTGGGGGTTTGTTTCCTACATGGAACAAACCCTTGGGATGCTCCTCATTAACTGTGTCCATGATTTTGGTGCTGAAGGCAGTTCTGAATTAATTCAGCTCATTTACTCTTGCTTACTGAACACCCAGGTGGCAAGAAGGATGGGAGGAGAGCAGCCAAACTTTGGGCTCATGACAGAAAGGATACATTTCAATCAGCCTTCTCTTTTCTGTAACTTTACAAGCTATGTGGTGTTAAATAAAACATAAAACTCACTTCTTCATAGCAGTACTTTTAACTTTGAAGACCAACAGAATGTTCACAGGCATTTATTTAATTTACTTCATTAACTATTATTTTATTTTTATTAATAGGTAATATTTTACTTATTAATTATTTAATTATAATATTTTTATTTAGTTCATTGCATATCACTAGGAGTCTAATTATTTAAACACTAATAATTTAATTATTAGTGTCTATAATTTAATTAAATTAATAACAATTATTGCCTAATAATTTAATAATATATTATTAATATGTTAATAAATTAATATATATATAAAAATTGTGAAAACACACACACATATATATAGATATATGTATATGCAAACACTGATCATCTACTATTATTTTACTTTAATTTACTCCAGTGGATTTCATAATAAAACAAAAGTTACTCCTTCCTGGTAGGGTGGGTCATAAGAGGCCCTGAGCAACCTGATCTCCTGGAGGTGTCCCTACAGGGAACACCAGCAGAGGAGCTGATCTATGATAATATTTGAAGGTCTCTTCCAACTATCCTATGACTTTTACGTTAAGTATAAACTCTTATGCAAAGTCCAACTTAAAAACTTGTTCACACCTTAAATTATCTACATATATATCCAAAAGTTCTCAGCTGAAGCCTAAGTTGCCCGAGACTGTAAAACAATCCTCACTGAACTGCAATGATACAAACCAAAACATATCAAAATTATGTTTAGATAACACCTACCTCCTCTGAATATTAAGTCCATTGAAAGGATTTTCTCTGAGTTCTGTTACTAATGAAAAGATCATCTGTAAAATAAAATAAAAATAAATCAAATAAAATAAATTACACATTCCGCCAATAAGCAGACACTAGTTGCACGGTTCTCTGTGTGACTGATGTACTGTAAAGGTTAATAACCTTCTTTGGTCATCTAGTTTGATTTTTTTAATTTTTTAATTACTGATGCCAAACTAAAGCTCTCCAGATCACTGAATACACTATGCTGCAAAATGTTTTTTTTAACACATTTTATGCCTTACACATTTTAAAGTTAAAAAGACATTCATTTTAGTTCTACTTCCCCAAGAGTTAAGGCAAAACTTTCAGAAGAGCATTACTAATAATTTTTACACGTTTTATCTAACTGAAGTAAAAATATTTTGAAATATTATTCGCATTATTTTTGAATATTAAATTTAAGATTCAGGGCTCGTCTACCATTTTTAAAGCAGTGGATACAGTCAAAGAAAACATTCAGAAGTTACATTCCAATACACAAAATATTACATATAATTTTGACTTCACAAGAAAAAATAATGATAGAACAGATTTTTGTTTTGCTATAACACAACAGCAATGGGAATTTTGGTTTTATGAACATCTATTAAGAGTGTAATCTAATAAAAAAATATCCAGAGCTCTCCCACTTCCTTTTTTTCCCTTAAAAGGTTGTAAAAGTAACTGAGGTAAGAAAAGATAAACAAAGTTTAGTCCATGTTCCTTATCACAATGACAGTTCCATGTATGTGCTTATAAAGTGGTGATTTATTATTAACAAAATCTCAATTGCACGGAGTACTTACATTTTTAACTAAGTGACCATAATAATCTGCTGACGTGTAGCCTAGAGTTGATATGAACAGATTGGTTTCAGCTTCATTACTTTCCCACTCAGAAGAAGAAAGGAGATGGTACAGCAAACTCTGTGAGAAACCAACACATAATAATAATATTATAATAATATAATTATAATAATAATATAATAATATAATAATAAAATTTTAGCTTGACATTTACTTCTCTACCAATTTCACTACAAAATGCTTTATATAAAATTCAAACCTTTTAAATACATCATACAATAATCAAAACAATCCTTTGATGACAGATTCAGAGACAGATTAACACATTCGATACATTGGTTTTGCAGGCAATGTACAAAGGACTCTGAATTTAGTACTCTGGTTTCCTGCTTTCCCAGTTCTTCAGCACCACACCCCAGCTCTGCTGCCTTTTGTACAGATCTTACACCTCAGTACCTTCCCAACCAAACTCATTTATGAAAACTGTTGTGCCAGGTCTTGAGCAGGTTTTTGCACCCTGGTGTCATAACTGAGCAGAGGCAGTCCTATGTTGCTCGTCAAATGATCTGCCCTGTATTTTTTATAGCTTTCTTTTCTTCTTGTTCTCTACTGGTACATGCTGCTATAACAACAGTTACATTCCCCTTCCAGGGGTTCATTTCAGGGCTCATTAAAGTATAAACTAAATTGGACTTCGCATCTCACTAAATATATAAACCTCTTTGTGACAGAGAGTCAGGATTAGTATACACTAAAAAAAACTTTAATTTAAAAATATATGATTAAAGGAAAGTTCAGATGAAAGCTCTGTGACTTCCATGGTCTTTGGCTGCTTCATTCTATGTATTCTTTTTAAAAGAGAAGCCTGATGAAAGATTTTGAGACCAAAAAAAATAAAAATCTCATTAACTCATTTTCTCCTTTCAGAGACCCAAATACTTATGCATGTGTTTGTTGAACATCCCTAAGCAACTACTTCAGAGGTCCTGGAATTGGATATATTCATTCCATGTGCTCAATGTTTGATTAATGTGAGAGAGAAGATACAATCAGCACAAGCACACCAGAGGTCTAAGAAAATTCATTGCTACAAAAATAAGTAACAAGCCTTTGGGACACTTTATTTAACATACTTTAGGACTCTTTTACTACCTAGCAGACTTACATTAAATGCCTAAATATGCTTTTCCTACATTGTAAATTTTTTTCCTAAGTGGCCCTCAATAGGAGAAACTGATGTTCTATTGCCATCCAGTGACCTCCCTAAAACTAAAGAGAAAGGAAAACTCTGTGGCAATGCAGAGTTTCAAAGAAGTAATTTACATGCAACTTTTGTATTCATATGGAAAATACATAAAAGGGTGTATTTTCAAAATATACAAGCCTCTAAGTATGTCAAAAGTGAAAGCTAAAATCTGTTAAATTCTACAATCTCTAAATAGGCCTTAATCAATTTATGAATGTGAACCTTATATATTTTTGTTGTCCTTTGCAAGTATTACTTAAATTTTGTTTTCAGAACACTGATGTCTGAAACATGAAGTGTTCACACAATTAGTTCCTACCAAAAAGGACAGTTCACCAAACAGAATGAGATAAGGGACAAAACTGCAAGTTGAAAACAAAATAAAGGAGGCAATAACCACAACAAACCTGGGATGCCACTTCTGCTAGAGGTAAAGTACAAAGTCTGTTGGATAGCTCAGCAAAAGGCTCACAAAAATCTTGCCCAGTGACAGTAACTATAAAAAGCTCTGAAAAGGATTTCACAGGTTGACATGCCAGCTAACGACAGCTAAATGAGGGAGTAGCTTAAAAACCCATATATTCACCTGTAACACCACAAAATACATTATCTAGTGACCCTGTCTGTAACCAGAATTTTCCTAAGGATAGAAGTGATCAAACAGTCTTTATGTGAAGAGTGATTTCCAAACTCCTTTCACCCTAGGTGTGTAACAGTCACCATTAATCATGCAATGGAAAGGCAAGACAAAATTGCTACACATCATCAGAGTCTGAATATGGGCTCCAACAGTTTTCTGGGTTGTCTTTAGGGGTTTTTTTTGCTTACTTGAGTAGATTTTTTTTTGTTTCTTTTTCCTTTTCTGAGCACTTTACTAGATCCATGCTAGGACTTGGTAGATTTTTTTTTTTGGAGAACATACAAAACCTCTGAACAGCCAGAAGGGGGCAAGGGAAACAAAGGCAAGGAGGTACTGGAGTCAAGACGAAAGGAGGCATTAGGTATGCATGTAAGACAGATATGTGTTAAAGTGGAAAACATTTAGGATTTGGCTCTATGTCTTACGTATTTCATTTTAGTGGAAGGGGTAATATAATGGCCAGAAATAAAAAGTTCATTCTTAATAACCTCTGACTAAAGACAATATTTTTTTCATATTATTTTTCCAGCCACTTAGCTAGTCAGCTGGATAAGACAAACTCAATGCTTGTGAGTAACACAATTTTTGAATCAGAACATGGAAAGAAATAAGAAGCAAATCGTTCCAAGAGACAACCTCTAATGAGAAAATCTGACTGAGGACAAAAGAAAAAATCAGGTAGTTATTTTCTTATATTTGTCCATCCTCTTTCATCCTATATATCATTAACTTGATTATCAAAAATGCAGTACAAACCAGGAATAGCTAATTTTTAACTAAATACCAGTCATAACTGTTGGTTTTGACTTTGATTCACAGTTCAAGAAGTTTAAATTCCAGTAATTCTCAGATCTAAGGGGTATCAGTAGTTATTTCACATCATATTGTAGAAATTGGTTAAAACTAGCTTCAAGACCGAGTGTAAAACAATATTCTCTGACATGTATGTTTCTTCCTTCACTTTTAAAATCAACTTTCAGAAAATACTATAGAGAAATCGGAAAGATTTCAGGAGATTTTCTCAACAGGGTTTGTACAGGAAATAATAGAAATATTCAAATCCAGTGATAGGTTCCATTATTACATTATGAACCACCAAAAGCATTTTGGAAAAGGAAAAAAAAACCATAACGTTTTAAATAGCCACAGTGTGGATTTCTGAGGTCAGAGAGATCAGTAATTTGACACTAATTACTCTTAAGAGATTATTTCAAGCCCAATACCTACAAGGCATTCAAGTACATACAGTACTAAATTCAATTTAATACATAGAACACTAAATGCACTCCTGTATTGATTATACTGGTAATGAGTCCCACACTACTCCAGCAAAACTAGCAATTGGAGTTCTACATAATCATCATTTTTTTCTGGCAGTAAATCATTTAACACTTACTGTCTAATCCACTAATACCACACTCTACAAGCGAGAAAAATGGGTGAGCCTGCAGTAGAAGTGCTGCATTCAAAATGAAAAATAACAAAGTGTCTGTTATTATTACATTTCCAGAATCACTTATCTGATTCTGGAAGATGAACAGCAGTCAGCAACACTGTCATATCAGAAGGCATTTCTTTCTTGATTTCCCTTATCACTGAATAAGTAAGAAGGAAACCACCTTGATTCTACTTGTAAGAGAATAAATCCATCCCCGTGGCCTAGGATTAAAGTTCTATGAAAAAATCCCATTCAACCTGAAATTAAATTAATGAATTTTCATAAAGCCTCCACAATGACCAACTCTCTTGAACAGCCTTGCCAGTGGCTTTATTTTATTGATGCAATTTATACTGAGCAATGGTGCAGATAATTCAAAATCCACTGCTGCACAGAGATTTCTGATATCCTTAACAGGCAGATAGTCCTAGGAGCATTAGCATGAAGACATAAACTCATTTCTTTATCAGTGTATACACACTGTTCATATCCACGAGAATTTGAAGTGGAGGCCTGATTTAACATTTACTCCTCTGATCTACAGATCAAGGGTGGCTACGAGGGTGGCCCAAATTAATACATTCAGGGAAGGTGGAGGGAATGAGAATAGAGTTGAAACTAAAGACTTCTGAGAATACAAATGGAGAAAACAAGTCATTTTGTTTCCCTGGTTATCATCTCTCTGTATCTGTCAATAAAGCTCTCCTGCATTAAAGCTCTCCTGCATTAAAGCTCTCCTGCTCTCCTCCTCTGCCACGGTGACCTGCTGAGTGGATGAGGGAAAGGCTGTGCATGTTGTCTACCTGGACTGTCACAGATTCATTGAGTCATATCCTGAGTTGGATGGGACCCACAAGGATCATCAGGGTTCAAATCCTGGCCCTGCACATGCCTATCCCCAGGAGTCACACCCTGTGCCCCAGAGGGTCATCCAAACCCTCCCTCACCACCCCTGCCAGTGTTCCAAAGGCGTGTGGATGTGGCCTCTGGGGACAGGTTAAGTGGTGACACAGCAGTGCTGGGTTTGTGGTCGGACTCAAGAGCTCACAGGTCTTGTCCAACCTAAATGACTCTGTGATTCTAAAGAGGACTGAGTAACTCAAGCTTTTTGGAATAAGTTAAACCAACTCTTTTGATCCTCCTCATTCAGTGATGAAGGTTGATTTCCATGTGCTCCAGGGGGTTTGCTGAGTTACTCCATGAAGTTTGTTTCTCAGAGACAACATCACATGGAGCACATGCATCTGTGAAAGACTGGAAATACTCTGGAGCAGAACTTGCCCCTCCACTGATTTAAATAGGTCAGCACTAGGCAGACACCAACTCAGCCAGTGTCCACAATTCCCGAAAGAGGAAGGACGTGCTTTAATCTTCTGATATTGTCTTCACTAAGCAGGGATCCAAGAGCTTTGAAGCCTTTTACCTCTTCTTTCTGCAATAACCAGTTATCTTCCTGCACATGGTGATGGGGAAAAATACAGACACTTGAATCAAAGGCACAATTACTTATGAAATTAGGCATCAACATAGAAACAGAACTTGATTTTTATTATAGGATGACATGAGAAGTTTTATGCTAATAACTGTATTTGTGTAGAAACTGTCCTGGAATTTATGACACAGTTTCAAAGACATTCCAGGGTAGACAGATAAACCAGTTTATTTCTGGAAACTTCTCAACACACTCTTTCCAAAGTATTTATGATTCTGAAAGAAGCAGATGTGAAAATCAACACCTCCACTATATTTTGGATGGAGGAGATGGATGGTTTCACTGGGATGAGCCATTCAAACCT